AATGAAACTGGTCTCATTAATAGTGGACAGTTTATTAATTAAACATCTTAATTTTTTTTTAAATTATATGATAATTGAATTTTTGATTCACAGCTTTTTTTTTTAGTAATTTTTTTAAAATTAAAAATATAATGTCATAAATTTATTCTTTCACCCATTTGATGCATACTTTTATGATTTGAATGCGTCAGAAGGATTATGGGGCTGTTAGCCGAGTCTTACCCAGTGCACCACATTCATTTGCTTTTGACAATGAAGGTTACCATGAAGCAGATGGTACAGCCACGGGCTCACCATCAGGAGCTAATTTATTCAGAGCAAATACATCAACCAGCTGGAAAAGCTAAGCAATGGGAAGCTGGACATAATAGGGATCATGATCCATATGAATCTGTATGTAATGACATCACATAATATATATGTTTCCCCCCATGAGCACATCACATCGAAACCATGAAAAAAGTTTATGTTGAGATGGTTAGCTACAAAATGTGTATGTTCATACAACTTAGTATAATAATAACCTTGATAATAAGGTATGATAACCTTTACTAAATCAAGATAATGACATTCCTTTTGCATCAATATTATTTATTTATTTATTTAACTTGAAAAGTGACTCAAATAGTCTGAAATATTTCAATTTGGAAGGATGAAATCAATGACTCATGTAACCTGTGAAGTTATTTTTATGTTGTTTTTTTTTCTATTATTTTTTTTTAAAGATATGTTCATTAACAAGTTAAAGCTCACACAAACTTGTGTAAAAAATGGAATTCCCATGATCTATCCTAAACTTTTTTTGATCCATAGACCTTTCTAGTATTAGCACATTGGATGATTTTTCTGTGTATTCCATAAAGTATAACCTTTAATAAAGTCTCATTGTTTTATAAATTTATTTTAATAATTTTAATAATATTAAATCAATACTCACTAAACTTTATATCCTCAGTTGATAACAGGTTTAACATTTTTCTGTCCAGTAATTTTAACCCAAATGATAATTGAGAGATGAACTTTGTTGACACTGTGTGCATTGAAGCTTTGTTTACATTAAAACTTAAAGTTTATTTGAATACAGGAAAGAGAAAATCTGTTTGAATAATGTTAAGGTGCTATCACAAAAACTACTTTTAGTTCTTTACTCTACACACTTATCTACACCATGCATGACAAACTCAATCCAGGCTTTTGGGCTCAGGAGCACTAAGACTTATTCAATGCATCAATTCAATGGCTGCAACATTTTTCAAATACTAATATAAAAATATTTAAAATATTTGTCTGCGAATAGGGTGCAGTGGCATATAAGATGTGCCCCCTTTATTATACACAATTTTTAGGGAAAAAAATTCTACATGACCAGCATATAAGGCGCACCCCATATTTTGAGGGGGAAAAGGTGTGTCCATATTTTTTAATAAAATGACTAAGTTTTGAATGGTGTTGTATGTATATATCATATAAAAATATAGTTAAAAATACTAACAGAAGTCGTTAAGGAACCAGTGTTCTATAGCTATAGGCAAGCTACTTGTGCACATGGCCCATGGTCCACCAAGTCCTCCTTCAAAATCTAGTTGATGTTGGTACTTAATTCTGAACTCAAAATAAAGTAGTGAATAGAATATTTTTAAAACCTTTTGGTGCATGCTTAGCTACAAAGGAGTACACATCTTTAAGTATTGATTTACAATTATATAAAATATCCACTTATGAAGTATAGTTATAGATAAACACCTCCTATCCTTTCATTGCCCTGACACACTTTCCTGCTTGTGCAAAAAAGTTATTGTGAAGAGAACAGATTTGAACATTTGTAATGTAATGCCTGTTACTACAAATTTCTCAAACTTTGTTTTCATCTCTGCCTTGGCACAAAGTTATATTCATGCCAACCGCACACGAGCTTCATCCTTGTACTTAAGGAATGTCTAAGACAAATTGCTTTTTATAGTTCATACTTGTGAAAATTATTGTAACTGTAAGCTTGTTAACGTGCGTACTATTAATTTTTTATTCTAAGTTACAAAATATTTTAACCAGTATATCACTTCAGTGTTTTCCAATCTGGTTAAAATTAAATAATGAGTGTACCCATCATTTTTTATGATAAAATTTAACAATTTCTTCGCCAGTCAATTTATTTATAATTTTACTAACAAGATTATAATCCTGCTACGAAAATTTATTCTAAAAACAATTTTTTTCAAAAGTAAACATGTTTTCCCATGTTTCCTGACAGGGGAATTTTTTTTTTTTTTTTTTACTGAAAATGAAAATTAATCTAAACCATTTTAACATCATGACTAAGTTCATTGAAATGTTTGGCTAAAAAAACATTAGCAGGACTTATTCAAATTATATTATTATGCAAATGATACTACTCTATTTAGTTATAGGCTGAAGCCTCATTTTTGTGTGTGTATTGGGGGGGGGGGGGGCTGTGCTGCAGAGATCCATCTGTATCCTTCTCAAAAACAAAGTGTTTGAATCAAATCAAACTCATCTAAAACTTTTAGTTCTGTTAATGTTTCATTTTCTCTCTGTACTAAAATTATCTTATTTTCTAAATTCACAGAAGCAAAATGTGTTTGCAACAGATTTACCTATGTATGCAAGACCAACTTCAGACCGTGGCCGTAGTGATCAACACATTTATGATAGGCCTGATTATAATGATGGGAGATATGGCTATGATAACCAAGCTTTTCAAGGTCCTTCCCACAGCAGAGGTCATCAACAGTATGATAGAGTAGCAGGATCAAGAAATTACTGACTAGAAAATTCAGGAGAAAGTTTTTCATGATTTTTTTAATGTAGAACAGTTAGGTTGTTTTTTTCCAATGCTTATCTACCTAAGGAGCTAATAATAACAATAAATATCTTTCAACATATTTCAGATTTTTTTAAAATGTAATTCAAACTTGATTGCTAATCTTGTACCTATAACAACAAATTTTTAAATATATTTTTAAAAAATGTCAAAAGGCAATAACTGTAAGATAATTTAACCAGTATGTTAGTAGTTGTTACTTTATAAACATTTCTTCATATTTTTTATGTTAAAAACATTCCATGAGAATTTTTGAAAAATTTAACTCAATGATGCATTCCTCTGCATGTTTATGGCCTTCAAAGGAAAAGAAACAAGTCATCTTAAAGCAATAATTCTTTTGCATGTTTTTTAAATATAATTGAAATGTTCAAAGGAAAAAACAGTGATGTCAGGTTGTTGTTTTTTTCGAAACTTTAAGTTATCCCCCCCATCCCCCGCTACATGCCATTCAATAGAATAATATGGCATATGGCACATAGGCCAACTGAAAAAGCAGTTAGTCAATAAATAAATATTTAAGACATCTTGACATTTTTTATACTTGCATGAGGAATGTTGAAACTTTTATTATCAATTTTTCTCAAAACCTCACAACACTGGGTTTTTCCCTTAAAACTCATCAAGTTTTATTAATTTTTTTAAAATGAATGCTGTATTACTGGAGCCTTTTGGTTTAGATAATGAAGGAAAAGATGACATTTGTTCATCTTGTTTACTTAATAAAATTAATTTATTCAGAGGTGTTGGCAAGAAAAGGGGTGTGAATGAGGCTTTGGTTATGCGAAGGAAAATGAGTGAAAGAGATAAATTAAATCTGTCAGTGATTTTGTCAATAATTTATTCCATAAAATGTTAATGTAAATGTATTTCTTGGTAACTTGATCCACCAACATATTTTATCAACTTTATTGTGCAATTATGAATTTGAGTGTGCCTTAATCACAGCTAACAATGTTGTTTCTAGAATAATGACATATTACAACAGAGCCTGTGATTGTTAAAATATGGCCTTTAAGCTCTAAGGATATAAACTTAATGTAAATATATTTTTTGTCATAATACTGAACAATGCCTTTTAACAAGCCACACATGCAAACAGTAATACTTTTGTTTGCCTGTATCTGGCATGTCCTCATCGTGCTGTGCACAACTTTTTTTTTTAATGTGTCCATTACAGAGATGAATTGTGAGTACTTTCTAGTAGCGGTAGTTAGTTAGTGATTACAACTAAACCATGGGAGTAGGACAAAGTTTCAGTGAACCACTATTATTTGTACAGAAAATAGTCTTTTTTATTTAAAGTCCTATATCTATTAAGTTTTAAGAAATTTTAACTGATAGGCTTATTGTGTAAACAATTATTCTTCTATGGTTTCACCAAGGATACCTATTGTTTTCTCTTTCTAAAACTTCACGTACGAAGAAATTCATTGTAAATAAATTGCAATTCAAGATAGAAAATGTAGCAATAATTTATGAAATGATATTTTGTAATTATTCACTATAAATTTAAGTTGCCAAGATGTTCCGCAAGAACTATCAGCTAGCAACAAAAGCTAGACTTCTTGTTTTCATTTTGCTCGATAAGATGTTCTTTCTTTAAAAAAATAATTCTGAAATTCTTAAAAAATTACTTTTGGATATGGCATTTTTTAAATTAGTTTTATAATTTTAGAAAGAAATAAAAATAAAGATTGATCCTATCAGAGACCATATAACAACAGGACTACCAAATATATCACTGCTTTCTCACTTTTGTAAATATCTTTCAGCTGAAAGTTGGAAACTCTATTTCTGGATTTCTTTGAGCTCTTGATTTATTAATCCAGGCAACACCAAATGCAAACATTATGTGACAGTGGACTCTGAAACTGCGCTGTAATAGCAAGTCTTCTAAAATAAGCTATACGGAGAAACATGGGATTCGGCAGTCCATCAATTAGTGTATTGTTTCTCTGACACAAAATATGTCTCCTGTTAATGGAGATGGTTTACTATGTCAATTGTGTTATTGTTGTACTCAGTATTTTTTAAAAAATGTTTGTGTGATTGAAAAACACTTATTGTTACTGGTTAAAAAATAAACAATGTTCAAAAAATAAAAATCAGTGGTGAAATTTTTTTTCATTTTGATTTAAAAAAAAAAAAAAAAAAAAAATGTGCAACATTGGGGTTTATTTTAAAATCCAATTAAATTCTGACTTCTTTTAGGCTATTCATCAATTAATACACACCAGAATTCAATTTTGTTGGATAAAAAATATATCTTTACATGAGACAGGACAAAAGAAGTTTAATTTTATCAACTTTTAACTCTTGGAAGTAATAAAATAGTTTGATTTTTATTTATGGAAGTAAATATATATTACTTCTGTGGGTATTTATGGATAAAGAAGAATTCTGGCAGGGCATACTATTCATGAATAGATTATTTTTTTTAAAAAATGTCCATCAATCAAGTTTGCTTCAAGTTTATTTTTCTTAATTTTGAATCAGAAGGGGTTAATAATCTCAATGTATTTATTTAATTAATAATTGTATGTCTTTAAAGAAAGCATATAATTTATCATGCTGATTACATATCTTTTAATTAATTTTTGTATGGTGCATGTGTATTGTGTGACAAAAAATAAGTTATCCAGGATATCTTTGATCATTTTCAAATTCAGTGTGGCTATTTTCAAAAATAAGTTATAAAAAAAATTAAAAAGAAATCTTTTAACTATAAGCAGGTATTAGTATTATATTTACCAATTCTGATGCCAAGTAGAAATTAACAGTCAATATGCAGACTACAAATTAAGGTTTAGTTCTAATTGAAACTAAAATTTAAAAACTGTTCAATGAGTTAACTAGAAATAATTAAGTTAAAGACATAAATAGTAACTTTTTAAACTAAGGTGCTTAGAAGTGTCCTGTTTTTTGGTGATTATTGAAAATGACACATAACTTTTTTATCTTAAACACAGTTTTATTTTAAAGTTTGGGGCATTTCCAGAAGTTATCAGATAGTTTTTAATTAATGTCTCAAAGTCATTCACAAGCCAATTTATCGCACATGTTGGGAGGGAGTACAAGTAAAGAAATTTTTGTAAGATGATAGTTGAATATAAGACCATGAATTAATATGTCTTACTGAATTTCTAGGAGGCCACCAAAGTATTATTCCAAAGAATAATTTAGCATTCTGCTTATGAATTAAACAATTATTTGTTGCCGACTGATCAATAAAAACTCACTGGTCGGTACAGGCCTATTTAAAAAACTCATGTTAAATTCCAAATCATAGAGAGGACCACAGTTCTGTCGTTTGAAAGCTGAAGTTCTTCAAATAATATTTACCAAGATCATATTAATCTAACATTTAAATGTAACGTGAAAAATTATTTTCAACTTTACAGCTTAGATAGAAATTTTCAGGTTAATAAATTTAAAAAAAAAATTAAATTTATTAAAACTTAGGAAACATGTCTTATCAAATTCTTGAATTATAACACTGTAATATTACTATGATTTAACAATTATAATCTTGTCCATCCAGTCAATTACTCATAGCAATTAACTTTTTTAAATTCATGGATTTTGTTTACAGGCGTTTTGTTGCATTTTTGTATTTGACTTTGTTAATGACATGTTTAACTCACTCATTCCTTAAAATAAAAACCGGGAAACCTAATGGGGGAAATATTTATTTTTTATTATTCATTCCTGTATATAACTGATGAAATTAATCCAGTCATAATAAAAAAAATGGATACATTATTAATTGTTGGTTGTAAAATCAAATCTTCCTAAAGTTTTATGATGTTCCTAGCTTTCAATGTTTTATTGCTTGTTGAAGTCATTTCTTCTTTACCTGGCAATAATGCTTTTTAATTTTTAACATTTGAGTTTCTTGTGGCAAGACATCTTGAATAAAAATTAGAGAAAGCAAATAAGATTAACATTTTTTAACCTTCCAAACTCATAATGCTATTGCTTTATGAGTCATTTCTTCTTTACCTGGCAATAATGCTTTTTAACATTTGAGTTTCTTGTGACAAGACATCTTCAATAAAAATTGGAGAAACCAAATAAGATTAACACATTTTCCTTCCAATCTCATAATGTTATAGTTTTATTATTAGGTGATGCTGACTACACATAAATGTTTGAATTATTGGTAATACATAATGTAACATTGATTGCAATGAATACAAAATATTAAATTGAAATATCAAAAATAAAAAAGTTTATTTTCTTTAATGTGTATTTATTTTCTTATTAACATGAGATAAATTTTCAAACTGAAAAAAAAAATCAAAATAATGTAATGTAGGTTTTGAACCACATAAATGTTTACTTGGTAAGCACATGTCGATTTTGTAAAGAAGTTTATGCTATGACTTATTAACTTATTATAATAGATCATTAGTAAGATTTTTTAAATAAGCTAATGCCCAAAACCTAAATTGAGATTCAAATTCTCATCTAAGTGCAAAGTTTAAGGTAGAGTCATATTATTTGAACAACTATAGGATCCAGTTTATTCAAAATACTTTTTCAAAAAATAAAAACAAGTGGAACACAGTGATCCTTAAGTTGTGTTATAATGTAAACAGTGTTATTTATTTTTCAAAAGTCAATAAAGAATATTCCTTAAGAGAGCGGGCATTATAAACAACTTGGAAAAACTCTTTCTTGGGTTAGCAAAGTGCATCATTTTTAATTGTTTGAAATTAATTATTTGAAAGCACATATTAATTTGTTACTAGCTTTCAGTCAATCTAGAACATATCCAACATTATTTTTAAAAACTAAATTTAGAGCATGCCAAATATTCTCAAGCAAGGAACTTTGTATACTTTGGTGGGAAAAAAAGGCACAAATTTGATTTTAACTATAAACTATTATTTTTAAAAAAGATAATCAATGGGGTGAATATTATTTAGCTTTAGCAAGAGACTACCAATATTATATCAATAGATTGACCTTAAAAACTAATTTCTTTGCTCTTTTAATTTTCTCCTCATCTGCCTTTTGAATGGATTCAAGTTGGACAGATGGCAAGCAGGCCAATTTCTTAATATGAATTAAGTACACAACAAACTTTTAATAAATATTCAAAAAGCTCACACCCCTCAAAAAAAAAAGGAAAATCATAAGAGGCTTCCATTCTATTTATATCAATGTTAACTTAAAATATTCAATAAATGATTTGTTGGTTTAATACTATTTTAAGATTTAGTGTATTCCATAGTGAAAAAGACAAAAAATCATTTCCAATAGTCAGCATCATTTTTTTAAACCCATTTACTCAAGCAGTTTCTATTAAAACTTTATAGTCCTTTACCCCTTTCAAAATTTACCACAGGACTTAGTATAACAAATTAACAAACCACTTAACCAGAACAAAAATAAGTATTTTAAAATTCACTATAAAACCTGCACCATGGAGCAAGAAAAAAAAAAGGCTTAGTATTTACACATAGGTCACTATGACTGGCAGTTGCACATGCTATCTGGATGAAATAAAAAGCAACAAAAATCAAATAGCCAATACTTAACTTTAAATATTAAATCATTGGTTTTGACAGGCATTTATCTGTCCAACAAGTCAGTTGAAAACAGTAGACTTGTAAAGACTATGGGCAACTCATCAAGGTAACATACTTGGGTTGCAGTGACACTTCGAATTTTGATCAATAAAAGTTGTATTTCAACATTTTTTAAAGTCCTACTCAACATTCATTTACTGTTGGGAGTATCACGATTCAACTTTGACCAAAGTATTTGTATTTGATGTTGCTGTTGTTGGAGATGCTGTTGAATTGATCTCACAGCAGTCAATGTCTGGCGCAACACATTTCCATAATCCATAGGTAGTTCCAACTGTAGTTTGCCATAATCTGAGAGTTCCATCCTCACTCCCACTGGCGTACAATTCACCATCAGGAGAAAACCGAACACAATGGACTGGTCCAAAATGACCTTTGAAAGACTCTGGATGGAATACAGTTAAAATTTAATTATTTTAGCAAAGTTTAAAAATTTGCAAAACTATTTCATTACAGCGGGGTTTCCCAAACTGGGGTGCAAAGAAAAAGTTTGTAATCACAGTTGAGCCACTGACTCTGACAATAAATTTTTAAAAATTTCTTTTTTTTCTTTAATATTATTTTATATTATATAAGTATTAATATTATTTTAAAAATTATAAATTTCTTTTAAAAGAAATAGTCCATATTTACCAAATTTAAAATTAAGTGGATGGTGTTAAAATTTCAATAAATGATGTTTCAAATTTTAAAAAATTTATTCATGCTTAAAAAAAATAATAAGCATCGGGCCAATTCAAAAAATAATTATTTTACCCAGTTCAGCTCCAGTAAAATAATCAAATTTGTACATTTTAAAATCTTCTCCACCACAAACAAAGAAGTTTTTAGATGGATGGAGAGATGCTGTATTTACAGGTGCAGGTGCTTTGATCTCCTTTATCTTCTCAAACCTGAAATGATTAACAAAGTTGATGTTTTAGAAATAAATATTTATTGGAATAAAAAGATACAAAATCTTAGAATTTTTTTGGAATATTGGCATGAATATTTTATAAGTTGAATATAGTATACACACGTTTCAGCATTGTAAAAGGCTGTAAAATGTCCATAAGTGACTGTAAAAATTGAGCCATCCGATGTTAGTTCTAAGCTCCCAGGGGGTGATGAAACTTCAATTTTGTGAATCTCTTGGCAGGTATTTACATCCCAAACTCTGCAGAAAATTGAAGTTTTATTTTACAAAAACTAAATCATTTATTATTTAACAAACATTAAAATAACATTACTTTTCTGAGGTTAACAGTCAAGGAAGAAACGGCATATAAAAGTTTACGTTATCAAATTTGTGAAGTTATCATTTTAAGAAGTCTATATAAAGGAAATGTAAGATTAAAGTTTTATTTGATTTTTAAAAAATAGCAATTAGCTGAGAAGAAGTATCTGAGAGGGCAACAAAAGAATTCTTTTGCTGACCTCTCGAATTCTACTTATCAGGTAAGTGCTATTTTTTTTAAATTTCATTGTTTTTTTTTTTTTGTTCACTGATGTTTTGTTGCGTTTCTTTTTTTCAGGTTTAAAATTACTTTGTTTTTCTTGTTTCCTAAGAAAATTAGAATAGAATTAAGTGAATCTCATTATCCATACAACATTTACCTGAGTGTTTTATCATCACTTGCACTGAGAACCCTATTACAATCTTTGTTAAAATGCACAGCTTTTATGTTTGATGTATGTCCAGCAAATTGCTTTGGTTCTGGGGAGAGTAATCAGTCATACTTATGACACCAAATTATGGAATTTAAATATTTTTTTACTTCAACACTTAAAGGGAAATATAAGAAATCATAACAGTTTTGGTTATCCATCCAAAGGCATACCAGCTTCTGGTTTCTCCAGGTCAAAGATCCTTAATATTTTCTCATTACTACCAGTTAGGAGATAGTGGCTGTCCGACGAAAAGTCAACACTCTTCACAATGTGCTTATGAGAAAAACTGTGGAGTTCTTCACCCTTTTCTGCATCCCAAACTTTGCTGAAATGAAATTAAGACACTTTTAATTATAAGTTAAAAAGTTTTTTTATAAACACATTAATATAATTGAATTGCCACATATGTTTGTATTAGTCAAAAACAGGATTGTTTGGAAATATGTTTATTATCATATTAGGTATTTATGAATTATAATATTTTTTTAATATTTATTTTTTACAAACAGGATAGGCAGTATGTAAATGTTAACTAAGTATTCTGTTGGCAAGAGATAATCATTATTAACTAGAAGCAAGGATTATAAATCTGAAAATTTTTAAATTTTATAGTAAATATTCAATTACTTTTTATTATGTTTTCATTTCTTTTTTTTAAAATTGTTGTTAATAAACTAATATTTATTAATGAATTTTTGTCTGAATTCTTTCTTTAATTTAAGTGAAAAAAAAATCTCTAATTAATTGGGGTAACTTAAAATTGACATTAGAAATGTAATTTTTTCTTTGTCTTCAGAAATTGTTATAAGCCTAGAAATTACGCAGTAAAATCTGCTGCTCCAGTTGCTGCACGGGTAGCATCTTTATTCAGAGTAGCTCCCCATACAGCACCTTTATGACCTTCAAACGTCCCAATCCAATCTCCAGTGTCTCCTTGACGAAGCATAGGTTTACCATCTGCAAAAAAATTTTTTGTACTAAGAGAGATGAGACACTGCTAAAGATAAATGCATTTAAATTCTCTGGCTTTGCATTTTTAATATACTATTAACAAACAAGGGACAGTGTCCATAAATGAGATGGAAATGAACACACAGTTGAACTCGAACACCACCTGGACCAAACCAAATCTCAACATTACCGAGTATGAAACAAAATAATCCATCACAAGCTTATTAATACCCAAATGTTTTTTTTAATGTGGCACTTCCCTAATTACTCCAGAAATTCATATATTTTATTAAAACTAGAAAACCGAAATGAAAATCTATTTGAAAAGTAAATTATCTCTGTTTTTTTAAACAAACATCCATCCCCCCTCCCGCGCCAAGACCCTGTTGCTTAGGCTTGACTTTTAATGAGTGACAAATTAACTCTTTCTCTCCAAAAAAACGCTCTCATCATCAAAGATTTTGGCGTATCGACGATGGGATAGTCAATGTATAAAACCTGTTATTTAAACTTATTTTGGTTCTTTTCGAAGCTATTGGTTTTTAATTATTTTAAATGAATTCTAGAATGATTTTGCTTTGTATAAACATCCAGTTTTTCTGTGTTTGAACGAGGTTTTACAGAGAATAAACTGTTTGAAGGCATTGAAGCAGTTGTTTTGATTGTCCATTTTATTTTTGTTTACAAACTCAACCATGAAATCTTGACCTGACCCATCTGGTGATCAATCCAATTCTAATAAATAAAGGTATTACTCTGATGATGATTCAAACAGTGATTTTATTATTTCAAATACAGAGGCTTATTCTGTTGAATCCTATGATTATAATTATAGTAATATTATTCATATTATCAGTACTAGTGGACTAGTGACGAAATAATGAAATTGGTAATTCAATCTCTAAAAAAAATTCATCATCTTCTTATGTCTTATATTCTTGATTCAGACAACTTTTTCCTGTGTTAAGCTACAATATATTGACATTGATCAATGAACAAAAACCAACCCCCCACCTTTGCAAGCGCTGATTAAAAAATATCCAAACGGAGTAATTTCACTGAATGATAAATCCACAACTGGACGAGTATGACCACTGCATGTTAGTGGAGTTTGCCTCGGTCCTGCCATGTTTTCCTTTCGAAGATTGACGCGATACTATATCCGTCAACTGACGGAACTGACAATGGTAAATGTGGATTGGATTAATTTCAGAAATTTTTGGTGCAGGGTCAGCAACCACTTAACTATGTAGAGAATAACCATTTTATAAATTATATCTAAGCTACTAAGAAAATATTTTGAAAGCGGCTGACTGGGCGAATTTTTTAAATGGCATTATTTTTATTTTTTTAATGTTTAGTTTAATAATGAAAAAAGCCGCATTTATTAATGGATTGAGCCGCATGTTGCCGACCGCTTATCTAGTGGATTTTCTCAGGTTAGGAGGGTGGTGTCTTTATTTTTATTGATAACCTATCATCTGTTTCTTATAGTAAATTGGGACAGTTCGGAATTTAAAGTGAGAATTATAACAAACAACTTAAGTAACGGCGACGATCACACGTAAGTCGATTTGTCAAGCAAGACATTGCTGCTGTTTTCCTATAAAAATCATTCTAACATAAGTCTAAACCAGTGGTTCTCAACCTTCCTATTGTCGCGACCCTTTATTACAGTTCCTCATGTTGCGGCGACCCCCAACCAAAATATTATTTTCGTTGCTACTTCACAACTGTAGAGTATAGGCCTACGTGTTTTCCGGTGGTCTTCAGCGACCCCTTGGAAAGGGTCGTGCGACCCCCAAAGGGGTCGCGACCCACAGGTTGAGAAATATAAGTGGCTTTCAATAACAAGGTGTACTTGGCAAGGCGCCTCACTGAAAGCGTTCGATATAAACCCAGACACGTGGGATAAAAAAGCAAAGGATCGGACATCATTGCGTTCCACTTTACACATTATGCAACATGAAGTTGGCAGAACAGCGGCTGCAGAGCACAAGAGACATGCCAGGAAGGCCCGGCCTGACTCTGCTCCCAGAGATGCCCCATTATTCCCCTGCAGCTACTGCACAAGAAAATATCATGCCAGAATCGGCCTCATTCGCCATCTGCGTACCCACAGACAGAAATAGCACAAATCTGATGATTAAAGTGGTCATGGTCAACTCCCGACTGACGAACAACATGCTTTGAAAGCCATGCGTTTGCAGTGAATAGAGGTTGCGTTCCGCCGTAGGAGTCACTTGTGACATTGGGCTGTCATTTTTGCCATTGCAGCGTCGGTGAGATATTTACTGATAAATTGCTACTTTGACATAATAGCTAAGAAAAATATTAAATAGCCTATTCAAGGTATAATAATATTGGGAGAAAATTAAAGGAATAACATCTACTAAATCGTAGAACAAGTCAAACAAATGTAGTCATATTTTAAGAGGCGATGTTTTTCCGGAAGGTTGTAAACCAGGCCAGCACAACTCAAAAATGTAGGTGGGCGGTAATACTTTATGAAAAAATTATGCGGGCCGTAATACCTTATGAAAACCCTGGCGGGCGAAAGATAATAGGACAGGGAGAAAAGCTATTAAGAAAATAATAATAATAAAGAATATTTATTTACTTCGCGGGCCGCCAACTGTGTGCTGGCGGGCCGCCAACTGTGTGCTGGCGGGCCGCCAACTGTGTGCTGGCGGGCCGCCAATTGGGTGCTGGCGGGCCGCATGAGGCCCACGGGCCGTATGTTGTGCGGGCCTGCTGTAAATTGTAAATTTGAGAGGCTACTGATATTGTCCTTTGATGACTTCGTGGATGAAAAGGAACAAAAGAATAGGTGATTATTGCTTTTTTTTAAATAATTATTTTTCGTTGAAGCATGGATGGGTATTAGAGTGCCGAAAGAAGGAGGGGGTAAAATGAATACATTTTCACTGTCATAAATAATAAATACGAGATTTGCATGATTTGTTACTTAGACTCTCTGGGGTCCGCCCACCCCGATATCACCAGTGTTTAATAACGTTTGATGAGTAAGCCTATTGTTTTTCGTAAGTGGGGTAACAATCAAGCACCATAAGGCAGCACGGCTACTAAACAGGTCGCAAATAACAATAAAGTGACCCCACCGCTTATATTTGTCCCCCGTGCGGAAGAAATGAAGACGTTGGATGATAAGGAGTTTTAAATACAATTTTTACCAATATATTTGCCAAGTAGTACATTTAAATTTTCTACTATTATTAAGTGAAACTATTAAGATTATATTTTATGTTAGTGGGTTTGCAATAAAAATATATTTTAAGTAGAAAAGTTAAAATAGTAACATTAAACATTCAAAAAAGTATTTTTGTCAGTTAGTATTTGATAGCCATATCAACACAGCAAATTTCTTGGACGGGAAATTAGATTAGCATGTTTAAAAATCTGGCACTCTTTGCGCGCTCTACAAAAAAAAAAGACGTTACTTTATCTTGTAAAACTGTAATTCATATTGAAAAATGATCCAACAATTGGGCCTACTCAAGTGTGTGTGACTAAATTGATTTTTCGGATTAATAGGTAAAATCTTGTTTAAATTGCAGGAACACGAAACTCATATATCACCCGTTATGCCTATGTTAACTTTATATGTAATTATAGAATAGATAAATAAATAGTCCTACAAATTAAGAACCGAAATAAAAATTAAAAACCGAACTGATATGAAGTTTACAAAATATCCGTTGACGAAATTTAATTTAAAAAACACATTTATGGTTACTACGTCATATTAGTAGATAGGTAGGCATTAAAAAAAGTTGCGTAAATTTAAGTTAATTTAGGACACATTTAAGTTTACCCAAATTTCATTATTTAATCATCCCATCGGCATTCCTCAGGCCCAGGTCTCAGCATAGGCTTGCATAGACTGTTCACTGTTAGACTATACTGATACTATATATATATTTTGCCTACATTATATTAATTTATATTTATATATTATAATATTTAACTATTGTTAATAGTTAATAATTTACCATTATGATATTTAATTTATCCATCCATGATAAAGTTAATGAAGCCTTAATAAATACATTTTTGTCATGAAGTGTAGGCCTACTTATGTTGTTTTCAATACTCATACTCCCTTCCCTAATAATTTTACAACTTTTTTTATATTTTATTTTTATGTCATAATGTGGAAAATTACATTAGGCTATTTCAGATTTAGCGGCCCACCACGACTTTGTTTTGGATTCACTCCCTTTATTTTTTCGTTAATAGAGTTACATTTTCATTAATATGACGATGGCACGTTTTAATTAAATTTTTATTGATTGATTAATTATAATTTTACTATTTCATTGGTTGGCTAATTATAATATTTTTATGTGTTCCGCCATTTTTGAAAATGCAAAATATTACATCATGACGGTATGGTGCTTTATTCAATTTCTGGATATTCTTTTCCGTGGAACTTGAAATAACGTGTGTAAAAGTGAAACCATATACGTCACAGCTACATCTCTTTGCATTTACCAAGACCAAGCCTTGTGTATGGCCCTCAAAATTGAGGGTGGGGGAGGGGGGTCCCTAAACACATGCCTGCTTTGCCTTTTGAACTTTAGTTAATCAGGCACTAAAGGTCGTGCCCCACAGTCTTGTCAATATTGGTCCTGAGTCTAAGTGTGCTGAGACACTAAAATCTAAAAAATCAGTAAAGTAATGAGCAGATGGGAAAAAAACTGTTTGCTTCAACTTTGAAAAAGAATAACTTAGAAATTGTTTTATAGGCCTTAATTAGTATTTTGTTTGGCAATTAGTTTATGGGCTATAAATCACCACTTATAATACCTTTTTTTCCTGAGAGCAAGTGAAGTTGTTACGCTTTCATATCATTGGTCACTTCCATGGTTTGGGTATCTAAACATGGATTGTAGGATGATACCATGGATTAAAAGGAAAAAAACTCGTTCAGATTGAAAGTATATTATTTTGAAAAAGATGTATATATTAGGGTCTTTTTTAATTAGTCCTAATTAAAAAAGTTGAATTGAGATAAGAAAAGTTAAACAGTAATTAGGAATTCCCCAAGAAAAGTGGGAGATCTCCAATGCAACTCACTGTTTTAAAAAATGTGGACACACCTCATATTGAAGTTCTGTTTAAAACAGATTCAGATATCAATCATCAAGTCGACTATTTTTGCTTCTTGACTACTAATTATATTAAGCTAAGACTTTGAGTAGGCAACTATGAGTGCTGTTTTTTAGTAAATTTTAGTTAACAATAACAAAATTTCATATTTGATACAAAAAGTGTGAAACATTTAGAAAATCAAAAAAAAAACTGTGTTGTTGGTGGCTCTTGATTAAGTTAATTCACATTTCCAGAAGGGTCTTCATAAAGAGGGAAATAGCCTCTGATGATTGAATTTCTAGACTTTAAGTTCTGGAGATTTCTGAGTTCCTCACTATAAATATGATGGTCAATGGTGAACGGCAGACTTACTTACAAGACCTGTTAGATTTTTCACTGTATGCTTGTAAATTAATATTTGTACCTTTCTTGTATTATACTTTTTCACTTGCTGTGCCATAGGTTAATATTGTTTTTATTTCTGTATATTTGATTTTGTATTTTTATATCCACTTAAAAAGTATAATTAAATTGATAATTGATTATATTACCAGCTTTGGTATAGTTTTTCTTGGTAAACTGGTTTTCAGTCCTTTGTTATGGGTATCTTTCATCTAACGAGTAAAATTTTAAAACCATAGATTAAATTTGTTAAACCGTATAACAGTATGTAACACAAGTAATGAGAGGTTTTCCAATAAGTTATTGATTCATGCATATTTGATAGGCTCCGTGGGTCAAAACAGACTATGTTAACGAGAAGAAACTGAAAATAAAATTCTTTGGCCAGTTTTAATACTTATTGTAATCCAATATTAGTGTTTTTATTTATGTTTGAAGTAATTCTTCAATAAAAATATTTTCTCTACGAGTATCTATGTGTACCTTAAAATGAACTTTAGTTTTTCTATGGATGCCAAATGCCCTCAGTGTGCCCCTGGATAGAGTAACTCACTTTAATAAAAATATTTTGAGGAAACATGTAACCTCAACTTCATGAAGTCAAGTAATAAAACCCATTCAATTTTTTATTTGTCACAAATAATTGTGTCCCTGTTCATGGATACAATAAGAAAGGGGGGGGGGGGAGTGTTGCCAGTGGTAGAGCAGAAAAGGGGAGAAACGAATATATTTCCAATAATTGATTTAAAATGTATTCTTACTGCTACATAGTAATAAAACCCATTCATTTTTTTATTTGTCAAAAATAATTGTTGCCCTGTTCATGGATAAAATAAGAAAGGGGGGGGGGGGCGTGTTGCCAGTGGTAGAGCTGAAAAGGGGATAAACGAATATATTTCCAATAATTGATTTAAAATGTATTCTTACTGCTAGATACTGAACACACTGCATGTTTATGTGCTCCTTTGGATTTAAATTTTCATTAACTAGTTTATAAGATATTTTAACAATTTTAAAAAAAAATTTTTTGCAATGCATTTTTTTTTAAATGTAAAAAATAATGCATATTAGACTAAAAAAAAAATCAGTGGAGAGAAATGTGTCAGTTGAGATGATGTTAAAACCCATTACCGTTTGAGTATTATTAAGTTAATTTGGTTTATTTTTTTTATGAAATTGTTTCAGAAAATTTTTAATTGTTTAACCTATTTGTTTGTTAACGATAATTAGCTTATGGCATTAATGTTTGTTTACAGAGCTAAGCAGTGACTTTAAATACAGAATTTTTGTATAGGGATGGACTTAGATGATTTAAAAATGTAACTAGTGTATACCAAAAATTGGCAAATGCTGGCTGAATATGGTCCAAAACATCAATTTGTGAATTGATACCCACACAAGTTTTAAAACTTAATGATTTTATTAAGAAATGATAAATTAAATGCATAATCTACAGATATTTTTGAAACAAATATGATCAAGCTCATATATCATATACCGGTACATACAAACATGTGCTGTATGTAAATTATGCTTTGACTGTGATGGCTATAAATCACTGTCACATGCTGCCGGTTAGAAACTGTAGACTTTTGTGTGTGGTCCCAAGGATAAAAGTTTCCCCACCTCTTCTGTATAATGCTTAAGATGTATACTTTAAAAACAAATCCCATAAAAATCTTATTCCAAATAACTTTTCAACAGATTTCATTTAAGACAATCATCACTTCACCAAACGATGGACGAAGAACTGGATGAGTTATACTCAGATGTTTTCCAAATACCTGGAGGAGTCAGTGTAAAATCACAAGTGTCTCCAAAAAAAAGAAAGAATTTATCAAATGGGGTCAGAATTTCTCATGGCTTTGATGAATGTAGTGTGGACATTTACAGTGACCTGTCCATGGATAGCGTAATTCATACAGAAAAGAATTATAAAACAAGCCCTTTGAAATTGAAGCCTTTTTGCACTTTGAACAAGGTAAAACATAACACTGCTTTTTGCTTTGTAAAGTTATTTTCGATTTTAAAAATGATTCTACTGATGTGTGTAGATTTTGTTTAAACATTGACTCTGTTAAAAGACTCTAAGTTCTTTACAAATTTTATTTGCTGTTAATTTTTAAAAGATTAATAATATATTGTGCAAAGTTTTAAGGGTTCTTATAAGATTCAAGAAAGACAAGTAAATAATATTTAATGTTTCCACTTAAAATTATAAATGTTTTGATGGTTTAAGTTATATTAAGAATAACCATTTATGTTGAAAATGTGATTAACTGTTTAAGATTATCTTTATTAAAGCCTGAAGGAAATGGGGAGCTTGAAAAGAATATAGAGTGCCTAGATTTATACACTGAACTATTAACTTCTGAGTTGACAGAAAAAGAAAAGGTAAGAAACCATTTTTAAAACAATAGGGTTCCACAATTTTACTGTTCTTTCTTTATTAACTGAATACAATATTTTGTGATTTTAATAAAGATTTCCACTGATTTTTTTTTTAAAAAGGGCGTCTTAAAAATTTCAAATGTTAAAAATCAATAAATGTTTATAAACTACGCAAGCTAAATTGTTTATAAAAATTTATTTGCAGACAAACCATCGTGTAAGAGAGTTGGAGAAAGTAAATCAAGAGCTTCTTGAAGAAAACAAAATGCTTAAACAGTTGAAGGAACAATTGAGTAAAAACATCTCCTCTCTCTTTCTGACAGCAAAAAAAGAAATGGAGAAAAAGGAGGCAGAAATAACAAAACTGAAGTGTGTCAAATTTTTTGTTACAAACATTTTCTACACATGAGTATATAAGATAATATTTTTAAAATGTAGAATTTTCAGGAGCATTATTAGAGCAGTTTGATTTTATGTTTGAGTTCCGGTGCACTAAACTATTTAAAGTGATATACTTTCTGAGTGGTACCTTACTTCTTTGATGTGAAGCTAAACGGGTCCAAAAATGGCAGAAGTGCAATTAAATCAGGTGTTGGTGAACTGGGGTAAATTATCCCAAATGGGGTACAAATTAAAATCTTAATGGTAATGAGGGCTCAATAGACAGAAATAAAATTATATTAAAAGTGCGTTCCTTTTAATGAAAGAATATTCTTCTGGCAACACTACATCTCGCCCGTTAAATGGTGAAACGCACCAAACATTTTGTGACTACTACTGGCTCTGCAGCTAATATAACCTCTTATCTTTTCTTGAATAAGTCATCTTGACCTAGTCACCTATTTTATCTTATGCTCAAAGGCATCAATAGAGTTGGTTTAAGAATGATCAATAAACTCATGATGTTACCCCCTCCAGATATTCCCATGGACCTTCTCCAAGGTCTGGCTACTCTGGTGGCACCCTGTACTGTGGCATCCTTTTCATATGACACCCCAGTCTTGTATAACTGAGATCTGTTATTACAATAACTTGTTGAGCTCTGTCAGATTACTATTTTACATAGTGAGGGTGTCACCCGGTGAGGACCCCTTATTGGCGCTACTGTTTATATGCTCAAAATGTCAAGAGCTCCATAGGCTTTCAAAATTGCACATGAAGAAGTCATCAGTGGTTGCTGCCTTTTGCAACTACATATTTTTAGTTACAAGGATCTTCCATACAAAGTAACATAAAAACAAAGCAGATTAATCAAAAGATAATTGAACCACGATTACATTAACCAAATCGCTCAGTCTCTCCCAATTTTGATGTTATTTATCAAATATAAAACATAATTTCTCCAAAATTTTAAATAACAATTTTTTCAAAGAAACCTTGTGTCTATTATAAGTAATATTTTTAAAATCACGTTAATTTTATATTTTTATATATATGTGTATTCTCCATATAAATATATTTCATAACCACTCTGAATTTAATTTATATATGATTTTCTTACTTTCCTTTCAAATCATAGGAGCCAAAAGGATCAATATATTCTTCGTAGAAGAATAAGAAATCGGGGGTAATTTATTTTGGGATAATTGCTAAAAATCTTCCCCAACCCCTGAAAGACACATTGCTTGTTTTAAAATTGAGAGTACATGATCTAAAAATTTAAGACCTATAATTTTCACTTTAATTGTATACCATCATTTCTAACAATACATTTCCTTCAACAGAAAAATTATAGAAGAACATGTCACAGCTCAGCAAAGAGACTCTACTCCTAATGCCACCTTCAAATCTACCAAAGTAAATGCTGAAAATAATGACAGAAAATACATATCTAGTGACAGGTGTAAAACTTCATCTATCCCAGACAATAAGCCAGACTTAGCTGTAACAAGAGAAGCTATTTTCAGTGCAAGACGCTCGCCTCTAAAACATGAGGGTAATAAAAACAAAATAAGTTTAATTTCTGCTGACAAATCACACCGTGATTCAGACAAAGTTAAAGTACAGACTTTTCCACCCAAGGAAGCCAAGGGCGTTGAAAGAAATGACAGTGACCATAGCAACACTGATTTGAGGTTAATGCTGAAGAGCAGACAGCAGGAGAGCCCAGGTATATTTCCACAAAATAAGCAGAAAGAAGAAGAGACATCCAGGAAAATTATACTACAACACAACAGGTCCAAGGAAGATGAGCCTAAAGCAGTAAAAATGCCTGGTTCTGAATGTCTTATTAGGAGACCATCACATAAGCAAAACAATGAAGGAATCACCCCCACTAAAGAAATTCTAGCAGCTTCTAAAAAACAACTGGAGAGTGTATCACCTTCTACAAAAAAAAGGAGACTGAGCGTCTCTGATAAGAAACCTCACAGTGAAATAAGAGACAGATTACAGCAAGAAATTAACCAATCATATTCTCTCGCTGCATGCAAGGGTGTGGCTGCTCGTCGGAAATTAAAAGATTCTTCATCTAATGATGTCTCTAAAGATGCTAGTACTCATCACTTTGCGTCGCCTGGCAAATTGAAATCCATAGACAGACTGCAGCAGTTTTCATCAGATAAAAAAAATCCTGAAATGGTGGTAAAAGCCAAGGAAGGGAGTGGATTAAACTCGAAATTTCATGGGTCATCACTAGAAGTTCCAAATGTCAAAGTGTCCAATTTTGATAAGAAAACAAGTGAAAAAAATTGTGTTGCTCCAAGACCTCAGGTCAAATTGAACAGAGGATCAGAACTGACAGTTAATCACAATAACTTTTCATATAACACAAAGATTACACCAAGCTTAACTAATTCTCTCAACCTTCAAACACATTCTCTTAATTGCGTGGGAAATTCTTCAAAATCCTCACCAAAATATTCTGACCAAAATTTGAAGAGTGCAAACCAAAAAGTCTCAACTCCTTTAAAGAAGTCATGCAACACGGCAACAACAAGGAAAAATGAAATGGTATCAGCTGATCATGAGTCCAATAGTGTAACGCAGCCATTTAGCCTTCTAAAGGAGGACATTTCAAACCCTGCAAAAGATTTAGCTTTAACAAATCAAACATGGTCATTTGAACATGTTGCTTGTAGCAGCAGTGATAAGAAAGGGTTTCACACTAAGGACAGTATACATGCAGCCCCCCAAAATAAAACCATCAGAGCTTTTCCTATTGTTGAGATGACAGTTACTCCAACTGCAGCAAAGTCACCATCACTTTCTTCCTCATTTGTGGACATAGAATCAATTTCTGATGAACAAGATGAGATAGAAACTAATAGGAATGATAACAAAAGCCATTCCATAGAAGCCAGACATGGTAATCGGGTTCACTGCAACAATTTTCACATGAACAATGATGCGTCCAAATTGCTTCCTGAAAAACATGCAACTAATATAGAAATTGACCTTGTTTCTATTAATGATGAAGATACAGATGACTCTGAAACAGACTTGGATCCTAAAAATCTCTTTGAACCGAAACCTGATAGATCTGAAAAGATGTACAAAGCCATTGCCAAGTCTGACAACTCCAACGACTCAGATAAAACTAGCATTGGTAGTAGTGCAGCGTCCACAGATACAGATAAACAATCATCGAATGATGAGTTGACAAGCTCAAATCAACATGCTGTGCCTAAGATTGAATGTTCCTTAGCCAGCTCACCAACCAGATATGTCACAAGCATTACTTGTACTTCAAATCTTATTTTGCTTGGTGATGAAGAGACGACATGCACCACATTCATAAGTCCCTCTAAGCCACATTTGTTGCCCTCTGAGTTTTACCCCCCAGGTGTCAGAGGTCAGGTCAGTGATAAAAGCTTTCATGTAAGACACATCCGTGGACAACCTGAAGTAATACATAAATCCAATAATGGGTCCCCAAAAAATGAGGAATTGAAGCAATCCAGAGTTCCCCACAGTGAAGACATGGTGGTTGAAGAAAATAGTACTTGCAAGAAACAGTTACCAACATCAACAGATGAGCCTTCTCCGTTAATCAATGCTGAAAATAAAACAACCAAAATTATTAATGGTGATCATCTTAAAAACATTGGTGAACTACAGTATTCTCAGGATTCAATTCATGAAGTAACAGCTATTATTTCGACAGGTAATTTTGAAGGTTTGAAAACTTTGGAAGCAAAAACAGATGACTTAGAGAGTTCTGGTTGCGACAGGCAGTTATGGATGAATGCTGTTCAAAAAACATTTCAAAAGGTTTTTCAGAATGAACTCCAATCATTTAAAGACGGTAACGTCATTTACTCTAAGCCATTAAGAAAATTTAACAGCAACAGATATGAATTGTACAAAAAAAGGTTAAATCTCTTACGTAAAGCTAAACCAGCTTCCTTGCCGCGTAAGGTTCTCCTAATGAAGCAGCCTATTCTAAAAGGCCAACAACAGATTTTTGAGGGGTCTAGACTTTTGGGGAGCTCACCTCTTAAAAGAAACCCCTGTAGTCCTAATATACCCAATTTAAGCAAATCTGATAATGCGCTCCCTGCTACTAATCAACCTAAGTCACTTACAGTTTGGGATCCACTGAATGAAAAATGCAATGACCTTAGGGAAACTGACTACGTCCCTCTTTTGGTGGATAATGATCAGACCGCTCACGATACTTGCATAGTAACATCTTCTGACCACTCTCTTGTATCAGTCAAATCTAGTGAAAGCTGCACTGATAAAAATAAAATGAGCCATTATGAGCCAGATAGTACCAGTGACAGCCGGAGTGGAATCAAACATAAATCACAAGACTTCTTAGTCACAAACAAGGCTGAGGTGACAAGTGACAAAAGTATTCCTTTAAAGAATGATAAGACATCACTCAAGAAAGATAAGAGTGACTCCAGAGTGAATGATGCCAGTCATCATGTGACTTCTGTGAAATCCTCGATATCCTTAACTGACCAGCTTTATTTAAGTGATGATGATACTGATATTGAAGATAATTTTAAATTTAAAGAGGACATTATTTCCACAAAGGAAAACTCAAAAGCCTTCACAAATTTAAAAGACGACATCACGGAAGACAAAGCACTCAACAGAAAGCTATTGAAGTCGCCACCTGATAATAATGTTCACCGGGTATTGCTGAGAGAGGATGATGGCGTTGGATGCCTTGCCAATGCAACCAAGCCTTTACGAAGTGGAGGACAAAGCATGGTTAGAAAATGTCATTCTGACATAGAGCTTATCTTAAACACAACATTCAGTGTATCTGACACAGAGGAGGATGATCTGGAGAGCAGGGTAGATGAAGATAAAAATAGTTTGCCTAAATTCAACATGGATTCACAAACAGTACTGGCACCTGATGAGATTAGTTTGATGGAAGTAAGCTTATCAGAATTTGACAGTGATGTTGCACAAGCCAGAAAAGGGACTCCTGTTAAGAATATAAAATCACATCAACAGAATGTGTATGTTTCACCTCTGTCTTTCAAAAATAAGATAATGCCACATCACATTGTAACGGAGCATCAAAATCCAAAATTTCAAGATGAATTGAAAGAAACTCTCCAGGCCACAGCCAGGCCTAGTAAAATGTCAATAGATGACGTGAGTAAAAAACTGCTTTCCCAAAAATTAAAAGATCTCGACCAGCAAACGGCACACACTTCAACTTCAAGTGATAAAACAGTGGGGAAAAACTCACAGCAATTTTCTCTTGATGGTGGTGAAAAATTGTTAAAAGAAAATCAACCATGTTATGTTTTACTGAGCAGAATTATGACATTTGAGGAACTTAAAAGAAACAAGCTTGTAAAAAACAGGTACGTTTATACTGAGAGTGATACGGATGAGAGATCTGACACAGCTGATGATCATACTGAAGCAGACGGCACGTCCTTGCCAGAAGGTAGATCAAATGTGAAATTGTCCTCTGATCAAAAAGAATTTATTCAAAAGATCAGCAAAGTAAAAAAGAAACTTGACCTTGATTTTGTAAAGGACGGGCATTCTAAAACCCCAGAATCCCTTCCTTTTCAAAGTCCAATCCTTCAAGTATCTGACTCCATGCTGAGCCCACCTGTCAAACAAGTGGCAGGGGAAGATGTGTTGGATCTCAGTAAGGTAAAGACAGAATACCAAAGTAGCCCAAACTGCAGTTTGAATGTAAGCACAGATGAAAGAAAGCTTGAGAAGATACCAATTATAAAGGCATTATTTACAGACAACAAAGGAAATAAAAATGGGGAAGCATTAACTGGCTGTTTTTCAAACTCAGTAAAAAACCAAATCCCAAACACTGAAGCTGTCAGAAATTCCAACACAAAACAATATTTAAAGGGATCAAAGCTGTGCCCTGAATATGTACCGGTATTGAAATCAAAATCTGCTGATATTGAAGATGGAGAAATTTTTGAAGAAAACTTAGCCTGTTCTTCAAAACAGAATTCATTCATTAATGAAAGAGACGAGCTTGAAGCCGTCATCAAAAGAGAGTTTAAAAAGCCACAGAAAATGAATGTTAAACAATCTGACTTGACACACAGCAGTTCGCCTGAGCTGACACACAGCAGCCATAGATCAAACAGTTATCTTACAGATTGCGCGTTTTCAGACAGGGGGAGGAAAAGATCAAGGTCACCATCACCTAACCAACGCTCTTCAAGCAGGCCAGTCAAACACCCAAGAAAATCATCCCCTAGGTTATCAAGAGTATCCTCCCGGGAGGATATTTACAGGAGTAGACAAAGATGTAGAGATGGTAAAGATGTAACAAATGAGATATTTAAGGGCTGGGTGACTGATAGCATCAACCCTGAGAAGAAAACCAGCTATTCTAACTTTTCCAGAGACAGAAGCCCTCAAAAACGTGGGCAGAGATCTTATAGTAATCGAAGTAGACAACTTGCAAGAGAAAGGATGGCTGGTGAAGATACCAGCCGTTATTTTGGACAAAAGAAAAATTCACCCACAAGATCTCATGAAAGGAATGAAGAAAAAAATAGTTACAGAGGGAATAGAAAAATCTTTGATAGAGCTTTATCCCCAAAGGAGCAAGATAAACTAAAGTCATCAAGGTTACAATCCAACCACAGAGGCTACCAAAGGAGGAGTCCTAGCAACTATTGTTCTAATAAGGAAAAAACAGCATCTTTGCAGCGGATATCACCCCCAAAACATAGTAATGACAAAAACTTTTGTGAAAGCCATTTCAAGAATCAAAGGTCTAAATATTCTGAAGAAGAAAACCAAAAGCCCCATAGTTCAAAAGAAAGCTGGAAGAACTTTAGAGAAGTGAGCCCAAAGAGAGAAATTTCTGAGAATGAACTTACTTCAAGGGGAAAATATGAAAGTAGCATTGGGTCACAATTTGGAATCTCATCATCTTTAAAATATATTAAATCAGAAGTACCTGGATCACAATATGAAGATGAAAGCCCTATGCTGGATAATGTTGAAGAGGGCGAGCTATCAGAATAAACCACGGTCAACTCGTTCAACATTTAATTTATGGAACAGGGGGTTGTCACGATGTAGATAATGTATCTGTGGATTTGATTAGTTTATTTTCTCAGGGCCCAATTTGATCTAAACTTACTGATAATTTAAAAACAGAAAAAGATGGCAGATATAAATAAATGCTATCAATATTTAGAATAAATCTTCATTGAAGTCTTTTTAGGTACAGCTTTATCTAAAAATTAAAACGTGCATGAAGTTTTTTTTATACTACATTTATTTTATAAAATAATATATATCATTTATCATAAGAACAGATTGATTTAAGGCAATAAAAACTCAAAAAGTTTCATGTGTGTAGAGGAAACTTATTAACTAAAAGAGTAAATGTTATCAATCGAGTAATAGTATAGTTTCATTCACCTCGTTATTTCACCTTGTTATATTTTTACAAATGTGACAGTATTCACATAAATCATTTTGTATTAATATTTATTATTAAAAATTTATACAAAAGTTGGACCCTGATGTTTGTTAATGAATTAGATTGATAAACTGAATTTATTTAAAATCATGAAGATTAACATTTTATGACAGATGCTAATGAAAGGGAGAACACAAACAATTTGCTATCAGTTTTTAATTGAGAATTTGATCCATGCAAAATAATTGCTCAAACAAAAGTGTTATATAAATGCCTGAAAAATAACCACTGGAATTAGGTTTTTCAAATGTATTTGATATGATACTCATCCTTAACTTGTATGCCACCATTAAATTTATGTAAATGTACATTGCTTGAACTTGAAGTGAACAGTACGACTTCATAGTACATAAGTTCATTGTATTTTGATATATATTTTAAAAACTGCACTATAAGAGGGGACCAATGGATTCTATTTTCATACCCCCCATCCCCCAGCACTGTTTGACACCCTTCATTGCTTATACCAACGACACTGCAGTTTTTGGGTACTTTATTTGCGCAAGAACTATGGTTATGAAATATTATATTTTTGAAGGGAAATGGTTGTATTCTAGATCTGTGTTAACTTTATCAACAAAACTGGGTTATTCTTAGGATTTTAATGGATTGTCAAAATGACTGGAACTTACTTAAGTGCTACTTTAATTGCAAATCATTTGATTAAATTATAGATTTATTAATTTTAAAACATTAACCATAGAATTAGTCCATTTCAGTTTCTTGAAACAAACAATTTCATCAGACATTATCTTGGGCATACCGTAACAAATAATGGAAAACATTAGAATATAAGAAGAAATCAAAATGAAATGAAAGTGATTGTTTTCACTCTTAGTAGAAACAATTCAAATAATGTGACATCCAATAATTGGATAGGTACACCAAGATTTAATGCGCCCCCCCCCCCCCCCCCCCCCCACGGTACATTATTATATTTTGTGTGTCAGGACCACTACAAAAGTTACTTGCCCTTGTATTAATCTCTTTCTATTATAAATAACGCACAGCTTTTTGTGCTTCAGTGCCTACATAATATACCAATAAACAATTACGGTACATTTAAACATTTTAAAAAGTAAGAAACTTTAGAAACACAATAATTTTGACATCAATGACAATGCACTTTAAAAATAAAAATTATTATGGCTGAATTATCAGATCATTAAAGAAAGTTAACAAAACTGTTTTATTTAGTTCTCTGTAGCAGGAGCATGTTGCATAGAGAAATTCACAGAGCAGAGGGGAATTACTCAAGTTTTGCAAAGGGCTGCATTAGGAAGATGATAAATCTGCAAACGAGACCATTCTTTTTTTTTTTTAAATATTCTGTTAGTTGATAATTGTGATCACAAAATCAAAAATATTAAGTTGATAGAAAATCCTAAAAAAAAAATGTAAAAGACCTTTACTTTTTATATTAAGTTGATAAAAATTGTGATCACAAAAATGTACTGGGTACCCGGTATTTAAAAAAATGGGTTCATTAAATTTTATTATTTTGCAGTTAGATTTATCTTAAACTATAACTAGAAAATTAATTTTATTCAAAAGAAAGACTAAAATTATACATAATTACTAATTAAATTAGCTTCTGTAGCTGTAAGCATTTCTTTGGGGGAAAAAATGTTCTAATTCTAAGAAATGTAAAATAAAAGATTATATTATATTATAACATTTTTTTTTTTCTTTCCATGCTAATGCTGCACAGAGTTATTCTGTTACAGAATTAATCAGGTAACTCAAAACTACAATTGGTTAATAGCATCATTATAAACGCAAAGTAAAGGAGAAAAACATGGCAGAAAATCTGCATGGCAGGCTATAGCAGTGTATTAATATTATAGTATAGTAAAAGCCATTTATTACCTTTAAAACTATTCAAAACATTGCAATAAAAAGCATACAGACATAAAAAATACTAGAATAAGTAGTAATATCTATTGTGTTGTATTCTGTTCAAACACATTTTAAAAAAATCTAATTAATATTAACAAGTTTTTAAAAAAACTACTGACATCTTAAATCTTAATTTTTATTTTCACATAGTCTGATATTGTCATAAAATGTTTTGATAACCACAAAAGAGGCTACATTAATTTCTATTTTATTTTCTAAACCCCAAAAAATTAAAATGAAAATTATAAGATTCATTCACCACTGAAAAAGACTATGGATCAAAAGAATTTTTCAACATTTTAGTCTCTTGAAAGACCCATTCAGAAGATTAAGTTTTTAAAAATTGCATTTACAAAATATAATTTACATTTTACTCCATTTTTGCATTCCAAACTAAAGTTTGTAGGTACCACTAATAAATTAATGGTGATACTTCTGATGATAGAAATTAATGTCAATGCATAGTAATGGTAGATGTAGAAGTAAATTAAATGTGAAATTTTTTTTTAGAAAAAATAAATCATTTCTCGTGCTCATAATAGTCATAACTTAGATATAGTTATTGTTTATTACAACCTCAATCTAATCACAGACAGTGAATAATGCATACCACTGATATGGTGTAAAAATAACTTTAAAATGTAGAAATATATTTGTGATGATAAGTCAAGAAAATAAAGATATTGGTCTCAATGATATGTATAAACAATAAATAAGAAAAAACATATGTATAATTTTCAAAACATTAATATTACAAACTAATCATAAATTTGCTATCATACAGTCTCTTTTTGGGGAGGTAAATTGCTTTTCAACTGAGCTTCAGGTTGACCAGATGATGGCTTTGGGTCCCTTGATTGTTCAGGTTTTGGTTGTTGGCCTTGATTTTGCTCTGCTGCCATTCGCTTTTTTACCTATATTTAAAAAGAAATTATGTAGCTTTTAGTACTTGATACTAGCAGCGGTTAAGATATGATTTAACAGCCTATTTCTAAATTTAATTTTATTTAAAAGTAGTTTTTTATGATTTATACATAGTGTGGCTATTTTAGAAAAAGATTGCCCAACCTTGTCTAGGAATAATTATTCAACATTGATACATTTCACAACATTCAGATATCAAGTAAATTAACACTCTACACAATTTTCTCATGTAATGAGCAAAGCTATCTTGTCCACTGCACACAGGAAAGATGATTCATTTTTGAGCACCAATAAAATTTACACTAAACAATCATGACCCACCAAGCCGAAGGCTAAAAAATTATGAATACCGTACCTGTACTTATTTTTTTTGTTTGTATAGCTCTTATAAAGAAAAGAAATAATAATTTCCCATTGCCCCAAATTCGTTTCTTCCACCATACACAATCTCAGGAACACATCAAAAAACATTTCACAAATCCTTAATAATTATCGATATCTCACAACTTATGACACAAATCATGCTATTACCCGGTACTAGGATAAGTTTGGACAAAAAAAAAATTTTCAACATAAAAAGATTTTTGAAGAGTTAACCAGTATTTTATATAAATCTACAGTGAAGAGAGTTCTTGACTTGTATTAAGCAATAATTGATGGTGAGTCCTACTTTAAAGCTTTATTGCAGTCCAACATTCTTATAATTTGTCCAATGACTGCTTAAAAGGTTAAAAGCTAATACAGAATAGTTATTGGAGAAAGGAAATAATTTAAAAAAATGATGACAACACTACATTAGTAATGGCAGTTAATGATAATGAGAGTAATAGTGATAGTAGGAACCAAGCCAATAAATCCTTTTGGGGGAAAAAATATGGAGAATGATGAGAAATAGAGCAGGGATTGAACTCCTGCCAATATCTTTTCATAGATACATTTTCCTTATTTCAAAACAGGTTCTAAATGAGATCAAATAGAATTTGAATATATTACAGAAATGAGGTGTTCCTAATCTCAGCAATGTTCCTAAGTTAGGTTTGCAATTTGAAAAATATTTTACTAATGCATTCATGCTATCACGCATGGACTACTGCAATGCTCTCATGTTGGGTCTTCGAGCTACGCTCCTGGATAAAATTAAAAAAGTACAGAATAATGCGGCTTGCATTGTTTTTCGCAAACTCAAATTTGACCATGCTAAAACACTTCCGAGAGAGTTGCATTGGCTGCCGGTCCGTGGTTGCATAGAGTAAAAAATTGCAACTCTGTGCTACCGCTGATTGCATGACCTGGCGCCGTCCTATCTCAAAGCGCTCATGACAACTTATGTACCCACTAGACAAATCCGCTCATCCGATAGTGGCAAACTCTAGGTACCATGTGTTCGCCTTGAGACTTGCACAAGGCGCACGTTCGCATTTGCTGGCCCAATAATTTGGAACACACTTCCTATACCTCTCAGAAACAGCCAGACACTAGAGTCTTTCAAAACTGATTTGAAAACATATCTATATCGCAAACACCTGCTGGGGTGATGTCTACCATCTTTTCCAGCTAGATCTCCTAGATGTATCATGGCCTGTGTTGTTTATGTTGCAAGGGATGAAAGACTTAGAATGAGTATTCTCGTATGTAGTTTTTGTAATGTTGCCTTTTGTATTTCAATTTGGTAAAATATAGATTTTTAAATTTCTCTTTTAATATGGATGACTTTGTACCACGCTTCGAGCCATTGGGGATGAAGCGTGATTTTCAAATAAGCTTTATTATTATTATGCCGGTACTCATTTAATTTGCATAACTATTACCAAAAAAAGTTAAAGTAACCCTTAAGTTCTATCCACACAAAACAAAAGGTGACTAAAAAGGTAAAGTAGGGTCACAAGTGCTTAGAAAAGATTCACACTACCCGTATAGAAAAATATTCACACTACCCGTATAGAAAAAGTCACCACAATTCACATTTAACTATTTTACCAAACTCACAACAAAATAGACTACATACTTTTTACATACAAAAACTGATTACATTTAAATGGCTTAGGTCATATTTGCTACAATATTTTGTAAAATAAGTGTGTTACCTCGGCTATCTTATTGCGAACAATTTTCAAATGGTCCTGAATGTACTGAGCATTTGGGTCAAGTTGTTGTGTATGAAGTAGGCACTTTTCTGCACGGAGTAAGTCCCCGCGTTCAACATAGACAACACAAAGGTTGTGCATAGCTTGACTATTACTAGGATTTCGGCTTAATATGCTGTTGAAATTCTAGTGAAAGAGGCATTGCGCAGATTAAAAATATGGATAGAGTAAAGTAAGTATGTGTTATATTAAGGGTAAAACATAACTGTGTAAATCAGAATGGTAAAAAATACTTTTTTTTTAGAAAAAGATGAAGGAGACGTGTCTACATCAAAGAAACCTAATAAGTAGTGTAGTGACTTCATCTCAAGTGTAAACAAAAATTTTCATAGCTATTTATTGCTAGATATCTGAGCAACATTTATAATGCTATTTACATGTCCTATCATATTCTGCTGTAAAACAAAATAAGAATAGATAGAATAAAATTACAAATGAAGCTGAAGTCAGTTTTATTCATATTGACTTATATTCTCAAAGATAATTACCTTCTCTGCTGCATCTAAATCTTTCAGAGTATTCACATTGACATCCCCCATCAAAATCAGACCTTTATCATGGTCAGGATAGTGCTGAAATATCATACAACCAATGCTGCATTTTCATAATGAAACTATTCAACTAAATTCAGATTTTTTTTAAAATATAATTTACAGATACATTAAACCACACAAAGTTATGTTCGTATCTGTGAGTTTAAGTGAATAGTAAAATAGATACTGGTACCAGTACATCATTTTTGCTAATTTAATGAAAAGACTAATAGACTTTTCTAACTTTAATAAAATAATAAATACCCAGTAAAATTATACCTTTTATAATCCTTTAAATGAATCAAAATGTTAACATTACATTTTTTTAGAGCCAATAGAGCCTTCCAGATTACTTAACAAAAAATTTGAAATCATATCCTGCTGATTAAATTTTGTATAGATCAATTAAGACTATAACTTAAAATAAAAAATTTTTTTTTTCCTTACTTCAAGTAACTGGTTTAAAACAGGCACAGCATCGAGGGGTCTTTGAAGGTTGTTTACCAGCATCAAGGCTAAATTGAACAATGCACTCCGGAACATAGGATCAAGCTTAGGAGAGGGAAAAATAAGTTATCTCAAAAACTTTTGTAAAGGTCAAATATGAGATTTAATAATTTATGGAATTAACTAAAAAATCATTAGTCTGTTGCTAAAACTAAAACAAATAATTTAAATATCAATGCATACATGTTTTACATAAAACAATCCTAATAATCTGAGGTGGATAAAACTTTAAATAATTCAGGTGTTAACCCCATCTTCTCAAGAGCACTCATATTCTTTTAGAAAAAGTTTTAGAACTGAATTTAAACATTTCAGACGCAAAGTCAAAAGTACATATAATAATATATATTATATTGTTCGTACTTTGCACATGATGATGACCAAGGAAAAATTCGACTTGAGTAGCAGCCTTAACTTGAGCTGTATTTTTTTTTTAAAGTGATGGAGAGTAGATGATGAACATTGTTGTTTTTTTGTGTTTCACTGTGCTCTTGATGCATTCCACGTTGCACTGTTGTCAGAATTTTCATTGTTTCAGTGTTATACCGCCTACTGGACTCCATCTTGGGGTTTGATTTCAGAGTTTGTCTTTTCTTATTAAATAAGGTGACATCCAAGGTTAATGAGTCCCATCCCACCAGGATGTCAAGATAATAGATTGCACGGGACTACCCTGATAATAATTACTAGCAATGATAAAGGAAAAAAGGGCCTATCTTTAGAGTAAAAATATGATACAGATATTTTATTATGGCTACTATGATGAAGAAACATAATAATAATATACCTCAATAGCTTTTCTAAAGTTTTTCTCAGCAAGATCAAATTTTTGTTCATCCATAGCCACCATTGCATAATTAAAATAGACTTTTGGATCCTCCCCTTTCTGCAATTTCAACCTCTCCAACCTGTAATAAATACCAGTAAATATTTATTTCCGTAAATAAAAGTAAAATCTGAATCAACAAAAATTGATTTCAAATATTTAATGAAAGTATAAATTTTAAACTAATCATCTAAGATAGCATTTAATATTCATGTAAAATAAGCAAATCTGAGTTGCTTATCTAAAGATGAGGGCTAAATAATACCACGCATTTACTGTATATTTATATGCAATAGATAACCCTTAGAAATAAAATTTAAAATATTCAAAACTGTAAATTTTGTTTTATAACATTGAATAATTTTATTCATTGAAATGTTAAATTAAAATAATGTTTAAAATATTATGAAGTTAGTAACATAGTTTGGTTATGTTGTTTTTAAATCAAAATGAGATATACGTATAAAGGAATGTCTAAAGATGATTTGAGTGATAAATGACTTACTCAAAATAATTAAATACAAAAATATTGGGTAATTAGTCTATTAACAATGAATAATAAGGAATATACTTCCTAATTCTTTGTTTGATAACTTTAAAAAATGTGCATCTCAAGATGTTACCTCTGCATAGCTAGATCTCTTTCCCTTGGATCTCCCCCCTCTTGCATAAGAATGGCAGAATTGTAGAGGGATTGCTAATATGGAATGGCATAAATGGGTGCAAGAAACATCAATACAAAAGTACACAATTTCTAAGCAGCACACAAGGTGTGAAATGCAACTACCATATATATACTCATGTATAGGTCACACTTTTCTTTTACCCAATGTTTTGATGAAAATCCAGGGGTGCGACCTATCCACTCAACATATTATCCACTAAACATCATTTTGTTTAATATTATTTAATATATGGAATGGTCTGTCATGCAAAAGTTGGGGAATTTTTTTCTTCCTTGCTATCTCTTACACTGAAGAAAAGAGTAATTGGGTCTATTAAAGCTGACATACTTTAAGACAATGGCTTTTCAGTTTTCAATGTTTTATGGAAACATTTTTGTGATGTCAGTTTTAGAAATATCAGTTATTTTACTTTTAAAAAGAGCCGCATAACTCCCAAAACTAAGGGTGCTACCTATCTACAGTTCAAATGCAAATACCCACTTTGACCACCCCAAACTAAGGGTTCAAATATATCCACTGGTGCAAACTATTGCGAGTATATTTGCTGGTAAAAATCAAAATGATAAAGCAAAATCAAAAATTTTTCATTCAAAAAACGATTTTTTCAAATGTCATACATTTAATTTAAAAAGAAAAAATATCAGTGATAAAGTAAACTGACAAATCTTCTGTGTAAATATACATTTTAAAAAGCTGATTTTTATAATGGTGATAAATATTCAAATTTTAAAATTCAGATAAGAATAGAGATTAAATTACTTGGCAGCATAGTCCATTTTTTACAAAATTAACTTAAACTTAAAATATTTCTTTATTTTTTTTACCTAAATTATTATTCATTAAATGCATGATAGCTCTGACAAACATAAAATTGTCAATAAAAAACATAAAAATTACAATTACAAGAAAACATGGCGATGTAACTTTTTTTTTTTTGCACTCACCCAATGATCTGGATTAAATTGTAATGCCAACTCAAAGTTCTTCCTGGCAGCTCTTGTTTGGTTTTGTTCAAGCAGAACCACTCCAAGCTGTTAATTTATTTGTAGAAAAAAACCATTTACCGCAAGGAAACATATATTTCTTTTTTATGTAATAATAATATTTTAAAAAAAAAATTATTTTCTAATTAAAATTCTTAAAATAAATTCAAAGTTTATCATCTTCAAGAATTTATTTTGAATCTTACATTATAATAAAGGTCTGAATTTTTGGGATCTTGTCTCAGTGCTGCTTCATATGTTAATTTAGCATCATCTAGTCTGAAGACAGAAATTATTTTTTAACATTTAAAAAATAATATAATTCAAACTACTGTTGCATGCAAAGTGTGACAGATTAAATACCATATTTCTATCCATAAACTTTTCCTGGCTAAACCATCGGTATTTTATCAATGCTCTACTAATGTGTCTGCACTTAGCTTTATGCTACAAGTAGATGAATTTAAAATGGAATTAGCCAAGTGCAGCTTTTTACTGACAATGACATTCCTCAATTTTATTCCCAAATATGTTTACAGCAAATACTTGTTCACTGACTTACTTGCCAAGCTTCACTTGTATATCACCCAAATTAATGTAGGCCTCAACAAAATCAGCTCTCATTGTGATAGCTTGCCTCAGCAGCTAAATCCATTACAAAGAAACACAATTTAAACACCTTGCAATAACTTCACTGTTATTAACTATTACCATTTCAAAGGGATTTTTAAAAAAAGCACAAATCCCTAATTTGGATCAATTACAAAACACAATTGCCTTCTTATGTGAGTATAAAATAGTTACATAAAAAATAGGCATTACAAAATCTGATTTAGTGTCAGTTAGGACTAAAAAAAGAATTAAATTAAAGGGTTAATTTTTTTAAGAAACTGATTCCTGACTTTGAAAGTTGTGAGCCCCTGATTTCAATTTTATAATAATTATTTTAAAAAATGACCTGATCTGCCTCTGCTAGTCTGCTGGGATCTTTAGAGACCAAATTGGCCAAGTTGAGATATGCATTCAAATGACTTGGTGCAACCCTGGCTTGGTAAGATTTGCCTGAGGAAATAGTATTCAGTAACTTTATAAACACAATTAACAAGCTTGTTTTAGGAACTAATACTTTTTCTCAAGATTGTGATTTTCCCAGAAGTCCTTAAGGCAGTCACCTTTGATTATAGGAGGAAACAGACTGATGGCCCTATGATAAGCAAGCTCTGCTGATTTACTTAGATTCAGATTAACATATGTCCTCCCAACATTGATGTGTGCACCTATATCATCTGGCTGTACACTGCAATAAAGCAAATGGAAGAAAATAAAAGCCATTTGTTAAAAATACCCAACCAGGGAATAAAATGAGTTTTATTTCCATACAAACTCCAGATTTTTACCTAAAATATATTTTAATATTACACATTTGTGAATAAGTTAAAAACAGTGTTGAAACTTAGATTTGAAAAAAAAAATTAATAAGCCTTAAAAAAAATATAAAATACATTTTCTACTTTAAAGTAATAATTATTTAACCTGGCAGCTTTCTCAAAATAATCCAAGGCTTCTGAAAAGTTATGAACTTTTTCTAATGCATGTCCCACGTTGTTGAAAAGCTTGGCATTTTCTTGATTGACTTTAAGACCAGCACGGAATATTGTGTACTCAGACTCCCTGAAATTTTGTTTACCTCTATTAATTATAATAATGTGAGTGGCATCTCATCATGAATACTTTCTCAAAGATACACTATAATTTTGAAACATTGAGCTTCAAGCAAATAATTATAATGATGTTATTAAGAGAATTATAATTATATATGTGTATCTATATATATGATTGATGTTTCAGCTTGTATAAAGCCTGATCAATCTGTAAAGGTAAAGTAAACGGGAAAACTCCCAATAAATCCAATAAAATTCCTTTACATTAGAGTTTGTAAAACTGGTTCAATACATGTCCCTGGTAATATAAAACTCAAAATAAAAAAATATTTTAAAAAAATGTTTGTATAGATATATAGGTTTTCAACCTGAAGAAACTTAAAGACTACTCTTGAAAACTATACACTGTAAGTATTATGCATATAGATGAAAATTATTGGTTAAAAAGAGAGGCTCTATCATAAGGATTTACTAGTTATCTGATCATAGATCAAGATCCTATAAAAACAAAATAAAAATGTTGAGAACTGGGAAATTTCAACATGCACCTAAAAAAAAATGCATTGCATTTAAAGTTCATAAAATAAAGCATCTCACAAAAGGATTATGGATTCTTGTATTTTAATATGGTTGAAGAAATAAACTATACAAACATATTTTGTTATAAAAACTATATTTTGTAGTATGCCTACCAATCAAAGTTGCGTAGATATGTTTTGGCTCCATGTGATACCAAAAGGAATGCCAAGAGTGCATCCAGCAAAAACTTTTTAGAACTGCAAAATAGTTTAAATATATTATGTGATTAATATTATGTAACTGGATTTTTTTTAAAGAAAAGAAGGATTTCAGCTGCTTGTGTGGAGTGTTGGCTTCAGTGACACTATATAACCTTAATAAAGAGTCATATCTTTCTATTATTTTTATTACTCACCTTGCATTTTCTTTTAGTACTTGGAACCCAAGTGCTACCAGCATGCAAAATCCAAAGCTAGGAGTGTAAAGAATCCTCTCTGCCACAACAAAGCCAACCGGGAAGAAGAGGTTGGAGGCAGGAATGAAGGGAAGAACCAGTACCGCCAAACTCTGGGATAAAAAGTTTTTAATAAATGATTTATCAATATGACTGTTCAGAGACATGATAAGCCACTTTGGGGTCATTTGGATGGGAGTCAAGTAACAGTGTGGAATTGAGAAAATCATCCAGGTTAAAAAAAAATTGAAATGGGTCAATAATAGTACCGAAATAATTTCAACGATTTCTGCGAATAAAATCTAATTAAGATTCATTTACAATACAAATATTCGATTAATACAAAAAAAATATAAAATTTCTTTAGCAATAAATATATTTTATTAATTCTTCATCAAACATACCATGGCAACAGTTCTGGATCTCTGAGTCTGCTGAGAGACAGCGTAAGTACCTAATGCCACCAGGACAGCATAGAAGGCTACTGTGCAGAGATTTCGAACATCCAAGACCGACTGAATGACCTTGATGGTGCCCATGGTCCAGTCACAGCAAAGCTCAGATGGATTCAACAACAGCCATGCATTAACAGAAAGCAAATAGTTGAAGGTCAGTTGTCTGGCAGGAGTTGGTGAAGTCGATGCTGGATTGTCAAAACTATGGAGTGAGAGAAGTAATATACTTTTTTGTAAAATTTATTGTAAATGAATTGTTCAAAAATTAGATGTACAATATAAACTCAAAATTCCAAGTAATGAGGAGCCATGACAAGCTTGAACATTGGGTCCTCATTGGCTAACTGGTACACCTTAATGACTTTAAGGGAGAAAGTCGACATAGTGAGTGTAGTCTTCACTTCATTGGTAGAAGCACATCAAGGGGAGGCAGCTGTCGAGTATGAGCGTTAATTAGTAATTGTTGCGACTCAATATTATGTTCATTAGTTGTTGAACGCTTTTCCCGCGCTTGACTATTATAGTTAGTGAACACTCTTCCCGCCATTGTCTCTATGACGTATTTTTATGCTGAGTCGTGACGTATTGTCTATGCAGTATTGTGACGTATGTTTTAGTCGTGCGGCAGTCTTGAGTGGAACCTTGGAGTGATAGGGTGTGTGTTATTTAGGTCTGATAGCGAGCTGCGCTATATTCACATTGTTAGGTGTATTATATTTACATAGACATTAAAGTTATAGTTATTATGAAAAGGAGTTGAGTTTGTTAATTGATAGTGAGAATAGTACGACGCTTCAACGTATGAAAAGAACTGACGAATGTAATCAATCCAAGAAGACGTTAGGAGTTGACATGGGGGCTTCTCATCCGGGATTGGTGAACCTCGTTATTTTCATACTTGAGGTAAAGTACAAGAACATTCTTATTATTTAACTTTAGTGAAGTTACAACCATCGTCGCATGTTCCCGTATTTCAATGTCGGAGCCCCGCTGCCACCGTGTGTCAAGTTTATATGAGTTGCATACGCCAGTAACTCCATCAACCACCTACGTCCTGTATTAGGCTAGTTATGTCCTAACCTGCAACAGGCTAACTGCACCCTGCCCGTTATCAAGTTGCCAACGTCCTGTCCAGTTCCAGTGAAATAACTACGTCCTCCCCGTTATCAAGTTACTAACCTCGTGTCCAGTTCCAGTGAAATAACTACGCCCTGCCAGTTATCAAGTAGCCAACCTCCTGTCCAGTTCCAGTGAAATAACTACGTCCTCCCCGTTATCAAGTTACTAACCTCGTTTCCAGTTCCAGTGAAATAACTACGTCCTGCCCGTTATCAAGTTGCCAACGTCCTGTCCAGTTCCAGTGAAATAACTACGTCCTGCCCTGTATGAAGCTACCAATGTCGTGTCCAGTTACAGCAAATTAACTAAGCCCTGTCTGTTATCAAGTTGCCAACGTCCTGTTCAGTTCCAGTAAAATAACTACGTCCTGCCCTGTATGAAGTTACCAATGTCGTGTCCAGTTACAGCAAATTAACTACGCCCTGTCCGTTATCAAGTTGCCAACGTCCTGTTCAGGTCCAGTGAAATAACTACGTCCTGCCCTGTATGAAGTTACCAATGTCGTGTCCAGTTACAGCAAATTAACTACGCCCTGTCCGTTATCAAGTTGCCAACGTCCTGTTCAGGTCCAGTGAAATAACTACGTCCTGCCCTGTATGAAGTTACCAATGTCGTGTCCAGTTACAGCAAATTAACTACGCCCTGTCCGTTATCAAGTTGCCAACGTCCTGTTCAGGTCCAGTGAAATAACTACTAAATAACTACGTCCTGCCCTGTATGAAGTTACCAATGTCGTGTCCAGTTACAGCAAATTAACTACGCCCTGTCCGTTATCAAGTTGCCAACGTCCTGTTCAGGTCCAGTGAAATAACTACGTCCTGCCCTGTATGAAGTTACCAATGTCGTGTCCAGTTACAGCAAATTAACTACGCCCTGTCCGTTATCAAGTTGCCAACGTCCTGTTCAGTTCCAGTGAAATAACTACGCCCATCACTGCATCGAGTTATCTACGTCTTGTCGGTAGTGAGCTACCCACTTCGTGTTCACTTCCAGTGAATTAACTACGCATTTCCCTGTATCGAGTTATCTACGTCCTGTCGGGGGTGAGCTACCAACTTCGTGTCCAGTGAGCTGTGAAGTCCTGTGACCCTGTCCGGTCACCCAGTTGAACAACGCCCTGTCCTGCTTCAACGAGCCACCAACGTCCCGTCCTGCATCAAGCTGCATATGCCCGATCCTGTTTTGGTGAGTTACCCACGAACTGTCCAGTGTCGGCGATTCGCCTACATTCTGTCCTGTGAGCTGCCGATGTCCCGTGACCCGTCCCGGTCACCCACACCTCAATGACTGTCTCCCAAGATCGCCATATAGGACAATTGAAGTTTGTGAGAGAACTATTGACAGTAAAGAACCATTGACACTTAAATAAGCCCAGTGTGTGTTTTGAATAATATTTAAATTCTATAGGACTTTCCACGAACCAGGAAAGTTGGATTTTTATTGTTTAAAACATTTTTGGCATTAATTTTCTTATGACTTATGTATTAACATTTTTTTTACCTGGGTAGAATTTAGCTTTCTGCTAGAGTTGTTTAAACAGACAGCGATTGGTCCTTAAAACTTAATTATTGTTTACTGTATGATCACCCTTAATTTGCATTGATATGGCTGGATATGTCAGTAGGAAATGGAGTTTAGAAGAAATTAGGCATGTGGGAGTGTTACTTTGTTATACCGGAGAGAACCTAGAGGAGTATATAAGAGTTAAGTTTGAAGAACAAGTACGGGAAGAGAGAGAAAAGAATGTGTAGATAGACAGAGAGAGAAAGAACGTGTAGATAGACAGAGAGAGACAGAACGTATAGATAGAGATAAACAGAGAGAGAGACAATTTGAACTAGATAAACTTGATAGAGAAATTAGACTGGCGGAAATAGAGGCAGAACGACGGGATATTATTTTAAAGAGACAGGCATATTATTATAGCGACAGTGACGATGACGAGAGTCAAGGGGAAGAAATATATTATGGCATTGCCAGCATTCACTGTGAGAATCCCTATAAAAATTTTAATAGATTTTCTATTAATGTAAGTGAAAACAACTTTATTGACGATTATGTGGATAACGGTGGACATACTCATGATCCTGACCCCAGGCAAGAGCCGGCCTCGCAACCACGGTTCATGGCTAAAGATACTGAGGAACAAAATGATATTATTGCCTCTGCTGACGACTCAATTTTTTTAGATAGAAATGACAGTGATTTGTTCATTGATCCGTCAGCTGACGTTAAAAGGGACAACGTTGACCGTGCTGACATACCCCCAGTGGCAAAGGGTACATATATAACTTTAGATTCATGTCAAAATGAGGTTGAAGTAGTTGGTGTATCCCAGGAAGTCCAGTGTAAAGAAGAAAGGGAACGACAATTTAATAAGGTGGAAGTAATTGGAAATGACCTTAGGTGGACGTATGTAGGGGATTGTCCCAGCGTCACAGTATGTAATGAACTGGTTGTTATGAAAACGGGCGGCATTGAAAGCAAAGAGAACCCTGTTCTAATGTCTGAGGACATGATTTTTGTTGTATCTCATGGTGAGCCATCAGATAATGTAAGTCCTAAAGTTAAAGTGTCTGATTTTTTGTGTGAAGTTGATGAGGTGAGTGTAATCCCTGAGGTGGGGGAAGGAGAGAAAATTGTTGTTGATAATTATTGTAATGTAAATGAGTCACTGTGTAATGTGAGCAAAGGTTGCTCAAATATTGATATTTTTACCGAGATATGTACCGGTAATGAAAATGAATTAGTTGATAATTTGAGCCAGGTGTGCTCAGGTTTAGATGTTACTGCAGAGATCTGCAATTATCACAAGTTGTTATGAGCAAGGGTTGCTCAAAATTTTATAGTATTACAGAGAGCTGTATTGATGATGAATCACCTGTAAATGTTAGCCAGGGCTGCTCAAATGTTCATATTGTTACGGATAATTGTAATGATAATGAATCACCTGTAAATGTGAGCCAGGGCTGCTCAGATTTTCATATTGTTACGGATAGCTGTAATGATAATGAATCACCTGTAAATGTGAGCCAGGGCTGCTCAAATTTTCATATTCTTACGGATAGTTGTAATGATAATGAATCACCTGTAAATGTGAGCCAGGGCTGCTCAAATTCACATATTGTTACAGATAGCTGTAATGAAAATTAATTCCCAAGTAATGTAAGTGAAGGTTGTCCGGATTTTGAGAGCCAGGAGTGCTCTAACATTAAGTTGGAAACCAATGTTGAAAGTGTTAAAGAGAGCGCTGCCAGCTCTAAAGCTGCACTTGTTTATGATTTTCAAGAGGAGGTGAGTTGTCAGGTCCATGAGTTGGGAGGTGAGGCTTTTGTTTGTATTGCTAAAAAAAATGAATTTGTTAAAAGTAACTATTGCCATGATTGCTTTGAAGTTCCTGATTTGTTTGAATTTCTTTTTTATGAGACTCGTTTTTCATTTTGTAACAATTTAAAAATATGTATTGCAAAACTGAGGTTTCACATGAGTTATGACCACGGGTCAAAAGAACAGGGAGAGATAATTTTAATTATAATAAACATGTTGAAGCATAAAGTTGTGAAATCCACGGACAAAAGATATGTCCCGCCATCTGTAGCTGTGTTATTTAAGAGCAAATAAAGGCTGCTCAAATTGTGGTGAGGCATCTCTCACCTGTAATAATGTTAGATAGTTTTGTGTTTTTATAGTGATGACCATTGGTTTTGTTTAAAAATACACCTTTTTGATGATATGATTTGGATTAACTTAGTTATAGTTTCAAATTCAGTAAGGATATTGATGTATTTGCCCTGATTTTTGAGATAAAAATATAATTATTTTTATTGGTATGAAAAATGAAAATTAATGTTGACATTCAATTTCAATGGTCTGATTTTTATTGTCGTACATGAATTTTTAACTCTTGAATTGCATTTAAAATTATGTACGAAGGATTGTTTATTTTATTGCAGTATATCATAAATCTGTTTGATTTTCAGTGATACCTAAATAATGTTTTTTGATAAGGACCATTCATATGGCTGAAGGTCTCTTCTTGATGTAATTCATGTAAATTTTGTGTGTCTGGTGACGATTTAACTCCCTTAGTTAAATCTGAAATGAAAGAGGGGGGATATGTCGAGTATGAGCGTTCATTAGTAATTGTTGCGACTCAATATTATGTTCATTAGTTGTTGAACGCTTTTCCCGCGCTTGACTATTATAGTTAGTGAACGCTCTTCCCGCCATTGTCTCTATGACGTATTTTTATGCTGAGTCGTGACGTATTGTCTATGCAGTATTGTGACGTATGTTTTAGTCGTGCGGCAGTCTTGAGTGGAACCTTGGAGTGATAGGGTGTGTATTATTTAGGTCTGATAGCGAGCTGCGCTATATTCACATTGTTAGGTGTATTATATTTACATAGACATTAAAGTTATAGCTATTATGAAAAGGAGTTGAGTTTGCTCAATGATAGTGAGAATAGTACGACGCTTCAACGTATGAAAAGAACTGACGAATGTAATCAATCCAAGAAGACGTTAGGAGTTGACAGCAGCTCTGCGTGACTGACAAAAACATTTGGATAATCAACTTTTGAAAATTTTAATTTTAAAAAAAATAATAATGAGCCGAAATTTTTTAGAAAACTACATTTAAGCGAACTTATAGGAAAATCACTATTTGAACAAATTATATAATTTAAATTAGATTTCAACATAGTTAAGAGATCAAATGAATATGAAAATTTTGAGAGCATCTGGGACCGTGATTACTTAAACGGCAAAATTTATGAGTTTATATCTACACTAAGAAAATAAGAAAAGGGGAGGGAATGTCACCACAAAAAAACAGTCTGGGGAATAGGAAACGAAGGCTATTAATCAAGAAACATTTAAATAAATTCTTGCAGACATTTGATACAAATGAGACATAACATATTAAAACCCCAATCCTCCTCCTCTAATGACATAGAATCAATAATTGTCCTTCTGCTCCGCTCCATTAACTTTTCACATTTTATATACGAAAATACTTCCTGTGTCATATATCCTGCAGCTATTTATGCAATTTACTAAAACTATATTGAACACAGTGTTACAGACTTGAGCAAAGGGTTACATCTTTAAAGTAATATAAAGATAGAGCTTTGAACTAAATCCATTTGTTAAAAGTTAAGTAAAATAATTTTTAAAAAGCCTAAATTCAAATTATTTCTTGCTCATAGATAAATTTGCTCACCAGCTGCAGGCTACTAAATTCATAAAATAGGACCCCCAAAAAATACTTTACTTGGTGAAGACAGGCAACTGTGCTCCCATGACTTTGATTCTGGCAAATAAAAGAAATGTTGTGCTGAATACAAGGAATCCTCCCCTTATTAACGATGTCTTCAACCAATCAGGCAAGCCTGACTTTGTACTGAGCAAGCTTCTAAAAATTGCCCAAAGCTCCTGTATTGTACTCTAAACCAGTAGGAGAGAAATTAATAATTATGTGTCACATGTTAAAAGCATTTCTAGTTTTGTTGGAAATATATATATATATATATATATGTTGTGGCATGTAAATAATTGTGTTTTATTAATTTTAAATGTGAAGTTTTTAAAAGACTAAAATATTTTCATATATTATGCTTACATAAAAAAATTTAATTTGCTTATTTTAAAATAATAATTAATGATAATAAATTTTGAGAAATAATAAACAAAATATTTAAATTTAGTGAAACTTGATGAAAAACAGACAAATTATTTCAAAATCCCTTTGGTGTATACATTTATTGAAGACTTACCCTCTGAACAATAAAAATCTCATAGACACAGCAGACCCCAATGACCGTAATGCCTTGCTCCTTGCATAGCATTGCTATGGTTACAAGTGCAACTGTAACAAACAGGGGACTCCATTCTGAAAAGACAGTTGTTTTGAAATAGTTAAATTTATACAACATATTAATTTAATTATTAAAAACAACTTGATAAGAGGGAAGGAATTTTTGAATGTACCATTTTCTCAAGATTCTTTCTTTCCAACATATATACACTGATTATTGATTTATATTGGTGTTGTTCCATTAGCATTATTTTAAAAAAAATAATAATAATTTTTTATGGATAGCAAGTATTATTTCTTAAGAAGCTCAAAGATTAAATTGTGAAGTGTCTGCCATTACCAGCTGCAGCTGGTACAATATTACCTAAAATATTACCTATAATCTTCATTCCCATTTATGTGCTTTACCTTGACTATAAATAGCTACACAAATGAACTGTGTTATTGTTTTTGGTTAAAATTTTTCATCTTTTGGTTTTATCCCTTAGATAGGGATGACATTATTATTTTGTTTAAATGTTCACAAAGCATTCAAGAAATGGCTACAAATATTACTTGTTTTCTTTCTATATCCCGTAGATTTTGCATAGGAAATAAAGGCACTTAAAAAGAAAATGGAAGACAAGGCCTCAGCTCTCCCAACTACTCCAGTGACCTGAAAAAAAAAGAATCTATCAAAGAATGTGTCTTTCGGTGTGTTCAAATTTTTCTAAAACAGATTAGCTTGCCCATGGATACCACCTTCCTTTTTTAAATTTGATTTGGTTCCATATTCATTTATGTTGTTTCTTAATTCGATTCCAGTAAGCTGAGTAGGGCTAATTAAACAGAGCCATTAATATAAAAAATTAATTTTTATGAATTCTTTTAATCTGAACAATTTCTTTCCTCTCAATTCATGGTACTGTTACCTAATCCATGTTTACTTAGCTAAACCATGAAAACCACAAATGTTATGAAAGCAGATATGATATGAACCAACCCATTTATAATAATAATAATAATAATAATAATAAAGTTCATTTCAAAAATACGCTTCATCCCCAAAGGCTCGAAGCGCGGTACAAAGTCAACAAAAAAAAAACAAAAAGAAAAAAGAAAAAAACATCAAAGTCTACAAAGAATTAGTTTATCAAGTTTTATATTTTAAATATGAATACATGTAATGTCTGATTAATAAAATTGCAGTCCTCAAATTTAAATAACAGCTACTCACTGCTTCTGTGTGTACTGGATGAACAGCAAACAGCAGAGCTGCCAAAAAACTTGTCAGCTCACTCATAAACATCTTGCAAACTCTAAAATAATATTTACAAATTAATTCAATGGACTTTACTAATTTTTTTTAAAACATGATTTTAAAAAATCCATAATTAACATAGACATGCATACCTTTCTCTCAAGATAATAAAGAAATTTTTTTAAGAAAATATGCAGCTGTCACTAACCTAACTGCATTCAAACACAAAAGATCTCATCCTCTTTTTAAATAAACAACAAAATAATTTCTTAACAATTTTTTAAAATAGTTTTACTTTACTCAAAAATTCTAGCTTATTAAAATAATCTTGAATTAAGCCCTAATTTTCCTAAAATAAACTTGAAAATAAATGAAGGCTCCTTTTTTCCTGGATTTTGGGGTGTTGGGGGTAGACCAGCAGGTTTCAACAGTTCTAGTCTTGATATCTAAAGTAATAATTGTAATTCTGTATGACACCATTTAGTAAGGAGCAGCATCCAAGAAAATTAATTTTACATTACAAATTAGATGTTTAAAAATGTTTTTCATCAACTTTTATCCTTTATGCTAAAATAATAATTTTTCCCCAACAAACTGATTGAAAACTGCCGCCTGTTTTTTAAAAATGATTTAAGTAACTGTGACAAAATGTAAGAGAGATTTAATTTAGAGTTGGCAGAGATCAGTAGTCAGTAACTATGTTAACCTAACATAATTTGAATAAATTAACACAACCATAATTTTAATAAATATTTTTTTATTGACAATAGGTGGCAAAAAATATATTCCAACGGTACATAAATAATCTATGGTTATAGATCAATATTTTTCACCTGGTGACTTACAACTCCAAGGAGTTTAACTGTGTTTAAGAGGGTGGCGGAATATAAATTCAGAATAAGTTCATCCATAATTATTTCAAATTTTTAGAGTTCAAACTAGTTGGAAATCACTGACAAAGAATATGAGAAGTAAAATAAAACCACAGCAATATTAACTTACCGCATAAACAAAACACAGACAGCTGCATGAAGAACAACATTCAGCAAATGATAGCCAACTGGATCAAGTTCCCCTAACAAATAATTAAGCCTGAATGTGGCAACACACAATGGTCGATAAGACTTATGACTTTTCTCCTAAGGAAAGAAGATTTTTTTTTGGATTTAGACACTAAGTAATATCCTTCATTCCAGTATCAGATATATTACACATTACAGCTCGATATTATTATATTTAGGGGTAGCCAATTCAGAGGTCCATGAATTTTCAAATTCATTTCTGAAAATATTTACCAAATATGCTGGCCTGTAAGAAAATGTGACCGTACATTTATTATATTTCATGCTGCTTACCATAGATTATATTTTACAAATGATAACAATTCCAAATAGTCATTTTTTTAAATGTGGTTGATAAAATTTAGGATTAATGTAAGAAAAAGAAACACTCTCACAAAATTAAATTTAAAAAAAGAATTGGTAAAAGATTTTTTAAAACAGCTATAAAAAAATAAATTTGCAAGTGATACCTTGTGCATTGGGGTGCCCCAAAAATCATTTAAGAATAAATCAAAAAATGGGGTGCTTGGTCGGAGATCCTTATTCTCAACTATTGCAGACATGTCATCAAAAACAAACCCACACCAGATGACATTGTGGTAAATCAGAGCCACTGCTGTACACAGGAGGATGGAGTATAACACAAAACTCTCCATCTGCAAGCAAAAATTTAATAACACATATTATTTTAATTATTATAAACCAAACAGCTGCACTTGCCAAAGGGGAAGATTACCCAAGTCAAAATTAATTTTAAAAATGTTTAATGACAGTGTTCCACACCCCTTTTTTCCCCCACGCCTCACCTGATCGCTTAATTTTTTTAAAATTCCACCCCCCCCCCCCTCCCCCTGGTTTCCCAGTAGTGGAAGAAAAAAGTATGAGTGCAACATTGGGGGGTTGGGGGGGGGGTGAGAGAATATTTTTGTGTATATCATATATGGATGGCCCCTGACATATGTACTTTTCAAATTTGGTTCCTTTAATACTAAATATATATTATTTTATATTTATTTATAATTTTCAAATCAACTCTATATTAGCATTTGATCATTAGGTGCAACAATTAAAAGATAAAAGTCCCCTCTTTCAATAGTTTCATGACCCATGATGGCCACACATAATGATAAGTGTTTCACTGTTTTGCACAATTGTCCTCTATTAGTAACCATACATAAATGACAAAACACAATTTTGGTAGATTTTTTACCCCACCCCCAAAAATCATCACAAATATGCCACATAATTTAAACACCATGATTACACATTGTCCAAAATTTATTACCCCCTCCCCCCAGATGTGTGTCATCATTGACACAATAACACAGTAAAGTACACTTAACATTTACACAAGATTACACTGGAACAATCACCAACGGTTCATGGTCTGTATTTTTTTAATGCCTATAAGACTAATTATCATCAGTCATACTGATTTTTTTGAAAACCCTTTGAGCAATATAGTCAATATAGCAGAGGAGAATCGGTAGACTGAGTAGGGAGTTAATTTACTTAATAAACTTGTCTAAACTTTAGGTTCTCTAGTAATAAATGCAAAAAAGAATTTATAATAGTAATAGTAGTTTATTAGTAAGCCTACTACTTGTATGCTTTTTTTAAGATAAAGGGTGCAAAAAATCACATTTAAATAGGGCATAGATCAAATAGGGACAATAAACTTATATTCACTGTCAGCAAACTTAAATTTAATTTTTAATCCACTGAAAATTGGTGCTGGAACTGTGCATTCTTTAAAAAAAAAAAAAAAAAGGACTGCACGTTACTACTCAGTGAGATGTAGTGGGTAATAGTAATTTGAAATCTACTGTACTGTGGTGTGTTGCCTGAGTCTGTGTCTACTCATCATGACTTAAGTTTAAGTCTTAAAACTATCTACTGTGAATAGAAGTATACGTTTGAGTACTGTGAGGAAAAGTCTAGATTAGTAGTAATCCCTGCGAAAAAATCTTTAACATCAAGTAAGTCAATGCCAGCCGAGTCACGTTGATCCAAAAAATCAACAAAAAAAAAAACAACAAAAAAAAACTTTTTGTGTTAACTGCATGTACGCTACTGAACCACTGACCCGTGAGTTTTTTTAGAAGTTGAGTTTGATGAGTCAGGAGTGTGACTGGACTGTTGTGGGCATAATTGGTGTAATTGTAATTTTAGTCAGATTAATAAATAACATTATTACTACTTCTTCTTTACCTGTTCTTTTCCCAGTGGAGTAAAGGCCATTAATAAAGGCCATTAAACCAAAATGTCACTGTTGCCCCGTTTGGCTTAGGACTTAGCCGATTTTGAAGATAAAAAATATTAAAATTAACGATTTTTGTGCAATCATGCAGCTGCAGGGATTACTAAACTACTGAACTACGGTAGTCTACGGTAATTAGGAGAATGAATTATTAGCTGATTCATTTAATTGTATACTGAAATTTATTACCTTAATTTATTTATTACTAATAATACTAGAAGAACAGCCTTTGTTTGTCTGGTATGGATTGTCCTAGTGAATTTTTAATTCATACAAGCAGTAAACCGGTGACATTTTTGTTGCCATAAAGAAAAATCTCCTGTTTTAAAAGTTTATATTATTGTGGATAAAAACTCGAGAAACCGGTTTTCCCCGAACAAAATGTAACAGTAAAAACTATCCATGACTTTCGTTTTTTAAATGGGCCTGACACAGAACAATTGTTTTACCTCACGCTTCATTGTCACAAACTGTCTCTTGCTATGATGATTAATTATCAATTGTAAAAAAATGGCTCTATGAATGTACAATATTTAAACATTTTTAAAAACTTTAGTCCGTTGTCTATCTATAATAAAAGCTTTAATTGTAATAAAATAAATATTTTTAAAATATTCTCGGGCAGTTGTAGTTGTAAGCCTATATAATATATTAAAAGCTATTTTGTGAGGCTAGTGCATCAACACCTTTAAAAAATTATTTGCTAATGAAGACGTTTCAACAAATTTAGTTTAAATAGTTTTATAATGGTTTCAAAAAATATTAGTAGCCTACTATTTAGTAGGCTAACAATTAATTATTTTTTAATGCAAAGATTAGTGTAATACTAAATTCAGGTCTGTGCAAAAATGAATTCTTTTCTTTTGAATTTTTCGATGAGGGACTCAATAAACCCCTCTCCCCAGCCCCCGCCCCCACGTTGACTTGGGAGCCCTTGACCCCCCCCCCCTCCCCAACCATTTTTTGTTCCAAAGCATACGTCAGGGGCATCCCTATTTCAAGCTTCGTTATTTCCAGGTTTCATTTCTGTGCCAAAATGAATTCTTTTCTTTTGAATTTTTCGATGAGGGACTCAATAAACCCCCCCCCCCCGCCCCCGCCCCCACGTTGACTTGGGAGCCCTTGACCCCCCCCCCCTTCTCAAACCATTTTTTGTTCCAAAGCATATGTCAGGGGCATCACTATTTCAAGTTTCGTTATTTCCAGGTTTCATTGTGCCAAAAAGCACTATAGATATTTATGTGTAGTGTTTTCGTGAAAAAGGGGGAGGGGGGACAAATTCATATTCCGCTCCGGGTGTCACAATGTCTCGCTACGCCACTGGCCTATGCCTATTCACTTTATTAGTCAAATGAAAGAAAAAGAGGGGCGGAATATTCGGGGCACCTGCATCTAACAATGAGGATAAAAGACACCACACAAAGATTATTTTCCATTTAAAATTTATGCAGGAAATATATTCGCCTATTGTTTGAAGAATATGTAAAGTCATAATCGTGGAGGGAAAGATGAAACGAACCGAGTGTTAAATTATTGGACGAATAATTCGAGTCCAAAAACTTAAAAAGAGAGAGAGAGGTGTGTGTTTTGGAAGGGGGGGGGGAGAAAGAGAGAGAAGTACAATCGTATGATAAGTTATTTTCTAAAATAAAAATATTATCTTTAACTCATTAAAATTGCAACTTATTTACTTGAACAATTCGCAATCAATCTTAAACAACAAATTAATGTTTAATTTACTATTTAATGAAGACCATTTTAAGCTAGACACTTGAGATTTTTTTTTATTATAGGCCTATTTGACTTTAACAATTGCTTCCATAAGATTTGTATAACATCTGTGATTTAGCCTCTTAGAAAATCGTCCCATTTTGTTTGAAATCAAAATATTTCAACATTTGGTTTTAAACTATAATTTACTTTCAAATGGTCACAAATTCTAATTTCTAACATGGTTAAAAGTTCCCATTTCTAAAAGATGACGGATCTCGGTATATAGATGTACCCTCGAATGTACACAACAAGCAGCATGTTTATCCGCATGTTTTGGTTTAGGCTTATCATGACCACAACGTTATAGCACATTTATAGTTTAGTAGTCTAATTTAATTTTCATATAACTGGCAATGGGAAAGTCATCACGACATAAAGCACAGAATGTTCATCATGTAAGTATCATCAATTCATCAATATCATTCACTCAGAATTGTGCGTCTATGCCGTCAATCTGATGCTGGCTTACTACATAAACTTATGACTTAAACTTATTCTTATTTTATAGTTTTTGAATTATAATAATTAATTAAGTAATAGTAATAGTGATAGCCTAGGCTTAGTGGCCTTAGCCCCCCCCCCCTGGCGTAAGTAAAGGCTTAATTAAGTCTTAAGTTGACTTAACAACAAAATATTAGTTATGTTATCCTCTGACTTCTGACAATAAAATTGTCAATATCAAACTTTTACTTCGCCGCGATGAAAAAAAAATAATGATAAATGTATAAATAACTACAAGTTTTAACTTTAAATTTAAGTTTTCATTTGTAGTACAACTTGATGATTGTAGAGAATTACTGCTAATGTGGAAGTTTTTTTTCTCTTCTATAAATACAAATAATTGCTTGATTTTTTTTTATATTATTAAATTGCAACACCACACTAACTACGAAGTGTTTAAATGATAAATGTCCTGTGACCGGAGGAATAAGTTCTAGAGATAATCGTCCAGCGACCAAGTCAAATGACCGCCTGACTTGACTTGTGTTCACAATATTGGAATATTATATCATATACATTGCCAACTACTTTGCAAGCGACCTCTTGTCACATGAAACATGTGCCGGAATAATAACACCTACTAGTCGTCCGGCGATCACATGGCATGCATGCCGGAAGAATATCTCCTGCACAGTTTGTCCGGTCACCAGACCTGTAGACACTGCCTTAGTTATAATTATATTTATAGTATTAATAATTTGTATGATTATTTTTCGCTAAAAGAATGTGCAGTTTATTGAATTTAATTTATTTAAATAAGAAAATTCTATTCTTAAGCATATTTTGTACTTTAATGTAAATAGGGAAGAAACAAGGGTGAAAATGATGAGCGGGAAAATGGCATAAACTTTTGAACCACTTGAGCCAAAAAGCTGATCTTGGTATTTCTGTAAACCTTTCAATTGGCTCTATTTAAATGTACTGCAATTTTACCAAAAAGTACCTCGTGTTATTGTGAATTTTGCTAAAATATATAGAAATTTGTAAGCAAGCTGCCTAATTTAATCTTATTAATTGACTCAATCGTCCCACTCCATTTGTTAGATTTTAGAAATAACAAATCCTTTCAGGCTCAACATAGATTGCTTTATTTTTCTCCATCTGTTTCATAAAAGTTAATTTTTACTTCCTCCAGTTTGTTCCATTCTCTGAACGCATTTCGAATGTCAACATTGATGTTATCCACCAAATTCGCAGAATTGATGATGAGGTAGGCTTTGTGTGTTTATCTATATTTTTGTGATTAGACACTATGTCTAAGATTTATTTTAATTACTAGACTTATGTGATGTTTTTTAAATAGGTGTATAGTTTTCAGAAATATGTTTTATAAAGATAATACATGAGATACTGAATCCTTAAAGCTGTGTCCCTTGATGAGGCATCTCTATTGGCTATGTCTAGTCAAGCTCTTTTATGAGTGCTGTAATAATTTTCATGTGTTTTATGAGACAAAATATAGCTTAAAAATTAGGGACATAGCTTGAGACACTGTCATTCAGAATCATGAGATTCAGACAGTGTTATTCATAATACTGTATCATGTGAAGGTGTCTCATTGTGGGGTCTCATTTAAAATTAATTTTTCAATTGAATAAAGGTCTGAAAAGATGCAAATTTCTTTAAAGGTGTACACAAACAATGGGTTTAAATGAGATGTCATATATTAAACAGTATATTTCAGAGCCAGTTACTAAGTATATAATACACAAAATACATGCATAACATAACTTATTTCAAATTTATGAAAATCTGTTTTATGTTATTCTTTTAAGTATTTATAATTTTGAATGAAATAAATACATTTATTTCAGACAGAGGGAACCTTATTTGGTGAATGTATTACAAAATGGACTGAGCTTGATCTTACAGATCATTTCTGTAAGTATTGAATCTGTAAGATTCATTGAATCTGTAAGATTCATTCATGAATTTATCTTAATTAAGTTTAAAATGACTGGGGAAAAAAAAACAATATTTTTACAATAATGGGACATCAGATTTATTTTTAAAAATTAAAATTTTTCCTCTTTAATTTTATGAATAGTATGCTCATCCACTGCTATTTTCATATTGTTTTAGTAAAATGTGTCTACAATTTCTAATAGTATGACAAATGACTTTAATAAAAACATGTTTATTTAATTTTAAAGCCAACTTTAGACGAGAGATTGTGGGTCAAGTACAAACATATGAACAACTTGTCCATCATAAGGTATTAATTTAATCTTATCTGCAGCCAGTAATATTGCTATATTATAATTGAAAGTTTTCTAATATATTTTATTACATACATCATTGGTGTTCTTTTAATGTTTTAACAATCTTTGAAAATAGATTATGCAACGTAAATCTGAGCACTACTTAAATGCTTTTCAGGAAGAGATAATCTTGGCCCTGAAGACACATTTGAATGTACAGAATTCACTTGCCTTGAATGCCCTGCTAGAGTAAGTCTACGTTACACATTTAAGTTGACTTGATGTTATAAATAATATTTAATTATAATCTATATATTGTATGTTTTTTATTTCTACACAATTAAACATATTCTTTAATTTATTTTGAAATTTTTAATTTATTTTCCAGCTTACTTGTCCAGCTAGCAAAGGATCTTCAGCAAGATTTTGTACCCCATTTCTACACATTTTTTGAAATACTTGTTAGACTTTTATCCATGCATTCTCAAGATGTGGAAACATTAGAGCAGATCTTTCAGGCTCTGGCATACTTGTTCAGGGTTTTGTGGAGATTCCTTATCAAAGATTTTAAAGATGTTTTTAGGTAAGCTTTTCATTTGGTCCATATCCAGCTGTAAATAAAATAGGCACATAAATAATCTTATCAGAAATGCATGGTAACCAACAAAAAAAAAAGCCTAAAACTCTCTTAAAATGTATTCTTTACTTCTACAGCCACTTCTCTAGATTACTTTTATCATCCCAAAAAGATTACATCAAAGTATTTGCAGCAGAAAGTTGTGCATACTTGTTAAGGAAGGTAAAATTATATTTTTTCAAAATCTCTGTTATTTTAAAGATGTGAAGTAATGTGTTGGTCACCCAAATAGTTATATTTTCCCCCCTGTTTACAAGCATGTTTTTTTTTTTGTTTTGTTTTTTTAAAGAAATTATTAATTATATTCTTATTTCAGGTGAAAAAGCAGAATGAATTGTTAAACTTCTTATTTGCATCACTTAATGAATCACCTGAAGTGAGTTTAATTTTCATAGATCTATTAAAAGTTGAAATAAATTATTTTGATTTTATCCTAATATCTTAGTTATATATCTGTTTGCCTTATTTTAAATGTAATGTCAAAAACATATATATAATATATAATAATATATTGCAAAATTGTTAAAAGATTTAAGCTATCATTAGGTATTTATAATTTCAATATTTAAAATCCAAGTCATGAACATTTGATATTCTGCTTTGAGATAGCAAAATCTTATCATAACAAACTTTCAATTTTATAAAGTGTATTGCTGATTGCCTTTTTTTATATGTCAATATATGTCAACAACATTTTTTTTTTATGCCTATTGCATATTTCTTTTTAAATCAAGTTAGCTGATGGTGTTGGCTTGCTGCTGTTTGAAATGGTTAAAGGAGTGAAGTTTCACTTTCACACCATAAGTGAGAAGGTAAATTGGTAAAAATCTCTGTACAATTTTTATTTTTCTGGTATATTAAAAAAATTGAAACTAATTGATTGTTAAATAGTAATTTGTCTTTTGAATCATGTTTTGATTAAGGCTTAAAAAGTTAAGAGTTTTCAGTTTTATGCTAAGGTGTTGTTTTTTTTACTATATAATTAGATTTGATACTATTTTGAAAGGTTTTCCCCCTGATTCTGTATAAATTGGGAAAGTGGAACCCATTAGAGAAAAAGCAAATTCGACTACCCAAAAATCTAGTGGAGCAATCTGTTACTATTTTCATGCAAGAATGTGCAGAACATACCACAAAAGAAAATTGCAAGGAGCTTTGGAGGCAATTACTGGTAAGATCTTATTTATTAATTTTTTTTTTTTTACCGTTTGAATTATGTTTACTATACTCTGCTTTAACAATTTAAACCATATCATTCACTTTTTTATCAGACCAATGCCACCTTTATTTAATTATAGGACTGTATTATTCAAGTTCACTCAGCCAGCATAAGTCAAACATCCAGTGAAGATGTCGGAAACAGTAAGCAATCACTCAGTCTAGTCAAACACCTGTGCAGATTGCTACGCCTTGTTTCAGTCTGGCTGTCCCACAATTCTGGAAAAATAGTGACAGACCCAGAACAAGTTGCTTCTGTAAGTAGTTTTTTTTTTCCATTTCTTCATTCTAAAATTTTAGATTAAAAAAAAAAAAATGTTTTTTAAAACAGATAACAGTGAAGCTGTTTAGGATAATATTCGGTCTTATGTTGTATACATATCATTTTGGTGATGCTAACAACTTTTTATTTTTAAAAATGTGTCATTAAAGGGAATTTTCGTTTACAATTTTGTTATCTAATAAGAGATCCAGGCAGTTTGAAAATTCAAGTTTTCAACAAAGACATGTTATAATATATTGATAACAGTAACAAGATTTAGAGTATGGTAAAATTTATTTAATTTTTTTAAAATTATTGCTTTGTTCACAGACGCTTTGTGTTCTTTTGAAATCGCCAATGAACCCAGAAGTTATTGGTTCCGACCTTTTGGGAACTGTTGTCAATTTGCTAAAGTCCTGCCAAGACAGACTTTCTGTGGAGGCCATTTTCAGACTAGTCACTCATGTCTTCAAAGCTCCCTTTTTGTTCTATGACTTTGAGACATTTGTAAAATCTTTAATGGATATGCCATTCTTTGAGAAGGTCAGCAACAATTTTAGTTTTGTTTTTTCTCCTGTTCATTTTTTTCTCATAATGATTTTAGGCTACAGTCATTGGCAACAACAATTTGATTTGATTGAGTTTTGACATTTCTTCGTACCTCATAAGAATACAATTTCTTATAAAATACATCAAGATAGCACCATCTTTTAAAATTGTATTCTAAAAAGACTTATTGTTTTTAGAAAGTAACAATATAATTAATTATTTTCTCTCTCTCTCACTCATTTCCTTCCTCTTTATTTTTATTTCTCCGTCTTTTGCTGTATATAAGGTTCTTTCAGTTGTTATAAATAATAATTTTTGAATGTGAAGCTAAGAGAGAAAAAAGAGAGCTGTTAGAAATCTTAAAGCATATGTAAATGTTAGTTTTCCATCCTATAGTGAAACAGATTTACAAAATTGTAATTATTACAATTGCAATAATTATTAATTTCCTTTCTACAGGATGTGCTTCCAGGCTGCATGGCACGGATTCACACAGAGCTTCCAATTAGTGACAAAAAACAGGAAATTCTTGCATTTGTGGCTGAGCTTGTCATTCAAAAAACACAGGTCCCTGTTACAGGAGATGACCTGGGTTTGCTGACAGCATACCCACTTGACCAACAGTGGTCAAGGTATATATTAATGGAGAAGATGTTTTGTTGAGGGCTGACTTATTCAATAGAAACTATCAGGCTCAAGCCCTGCACCAGATTATTGACTGTTACTAGTTATATAAGCTGCTCTGTTGGGGCTATTTTAGCAACTTCATTCACTTCTTCTTTTTACTTCCAAATCATTCACAAATTCATTCCATTGATCTCTGTTCTGAGCCTTACTTTCCATCTCATTCCTACTCTTTGTCTTTTCTTTCACTCTCTTTTGAGGTCTCTTTTCTTGGTGTGCTGTTTTTTTTTTTGGTTTTTTTTTTTCAATGGGTTCAACAACAGAGACAGTCTAGTAATATTTGATTTTTGCATGGTATCTAATGCTAATCTATCTTGATTTCCTACTCTGTATTATTTCCTGCTCTTACACATAATATGGTCTCATTTGGGATCTTTTCAAACCAATTTATTTGGGATCTTGCACAAACATCTGTTGATAATAACCTGCAGTCTTCTGGTATATATTATTTTCTCAATGTAAAATTACAGTTTAAACAAGTATAACTTTATTTATTGATACTCCAAACCTTTTTATTCTCTGTACTGCTATACCTAGAAATGGATTTAATATTTTTGCTTTTGTTTCCCAGATCTGTGAAAGAGAATGCTTTGGTCGGCTACATAGAGTCAATGTTTTCTGGGGCTTTATCAAAAGACCATGGGTTGTCTCAAATTGATATTCCATGTTTATGGGCCGCTTTAGTGTGCGTGCCACATTTCAGGTGAGAATATTTATAGTATCACTTAGCTTCGTCATCAATGGATGAAATACTAATTATATTAAGTGTATATCGAACTTATTTCTACCTCTAAAGCAGTTTTACTTTATTTGAATTAGAGGTTCGTTTGAACATTTTGAATTTTTTTTTCTTTCTGGAAGTCAGTTGATTTGTTTTCAAAATTTGACTATAAATACAGTTATATGAAAATATTTCCTCTTTTATCAGTTTTTCAGAGTTGATCGAAAAGTCAGTTTTACTGTGGAAGAAAATGATAAGCGAGATCAACGCCAATGCAGATCATGTTTTAGGTAACTGGTTCTGTATGCAGCCTTTTAAAAAGGATAGTTTTTAGTATTTTTTAAGTTTGTGAAATAATGTGTACAATAAATATGGTCATTTCTTAACATTAATTATTAACTGTATTTATTGAAGCTCGTCATGTATTCATTCTACAGGAGAAACTAGTTTGATTGTTTTGAACCAGCTGTTGCGAAGTTTCCTCATTTGTGTTCAATCAAACAAGTTGGAAGCTCTGCCAGTATCTTGTGAAGAAGTTTACAGCATTCTAAGGTATATCTGTCCTGTCAGAATTGTCTGGATTTCCTCCTTACAACTAAGATTTTATTTTTTGCTTTGCTGTGATACATTTAATTTCTGTTTTTTAATTTTTTAACATTACTTCCCTTAGATTATACCCCAAGAACGTAAGCTCTGTTCAGATTGTTGACTTTTACCTGTCAAGGGAACAAAATAAAGAGTTTCTTACAGAAGAGAGACTTGAAGAAACATATAAGCTACTTGAGCCGAACTTGGTTTCATCATCTCATAATGTAAGTTAATGTAAAATATTTAGTGTCTGTGTTAATCTATTTTAATATAATGTAAGGAAAACCAAATGTGTTTAAAAAAATTTTCCAACCGAAAAAAGTAGCTTTGCTGCTTTTTGTTTCGAGATTTTTAAAATGTTGCGTAAATTTTTAATTTTTTTTTACATTCTTTAGTAAGTGTACCTTCATTTATTGCTAGATAGGGAAATAAGTTTTAAAGCATTTTCATTTTTCTTTATAAGTACCATGTTCAAAACTCATGTCCTATATCTTACAGTATTCTACTAATGGTGAACTCTTTTCTACTTCCTTCAAATCTAACAACTACTTATTTGATCACGTCATGTTATTTTTGTTTCAGATGCGCTTGATAACATGTCACATTCTGTCCATGTTTCCTGTCCAACTGCCAGCTTATGATGATGTAAGAAGTAATTTCTATCCTTGTGTGTTCATTAGCTGAGAATCTATATACTATTTATTGTACTGTTATGTCACATTAAATATTAGGCAGGAAGGCATGATGATTTGTATTATTCCATTAATCTTTTACAGGAATATTTCTTTAAACTTTCTGTAAATTTTTCAACTTATTTTTTTTATAGGGGATAACAAGAGAGTGTGCTTTCAAAACAATGCTTACTGCAGAGAAGATGCCTTTACCTACAGTTCACAACTACAGAGAAAAACTTATTTATCTACGCAAATTAGAATACGGGATGGTTGTGAAATGTTTGCCCCTTGGTTCATTCCAGAAGGTGTGTTATGATAATGCTAACTCATCTCTAAAATATTTTATGGGTCAATTGATCCCACTTGCAACACAGAACACACTGCACTAACTTATTTGCTAGTTTAAAATATGAAAGCGGAAACACAAAAACTAATTAAAATACTTCATTTAAAAATAGATTAGTGTTTTCCAAAATAAAAAGATCCATTTGTCTCTCATTCTCTTTGATTCTTGTTGTTTCGTCTGCTGGTGGAGGCTTCCTACTAAAAACCTTTATTTGATTTCCGTTTTTTTTTCCTTTTCATGAAAGCTTTCACTCAACCTGCTCTACCGTTTCCTTAATATTCTTAACAATGATTTTCGGTGTTGCTTTCAATCCTTAGGCTCCTTTACTGTTCTTACTGGGGAATGAGTTTTGGAACTTCAAGCTTCTCTGGGCACCACTAGCAGATCTAGTTGCATCCCATGCCACTGGGCTTGACTCTAAGGATTTTTGGGATGTAATGCTAGAACAATTGAAAAGAGCTGCAAGTGAATCTGGTGAGTGTCAACTCAAAGGGATCAAGTAACTGCTATCAGTTTTATTAATGAAATACTTACAAAATTTCCTGTTGTTGATTTAAAAATTATCATACCAATCTATCTAAATGTTAGCATTAATATTGAAATTCTGACCTGTAAAAGGAATGACTATGATATTTAAAGATACATTTTTGTCAAGGTCCATAGAATAGTTAATATTTAACGACAAGGAATGTCAAATGTTTATTTTTTTAATTAGTTCAAGGACTAAGGATATCACCTCACGATTCTATGGACCATGACAAAAAAGTGAGATCTGTTTAATCGAGTATTTTGACTCAAATAAAGAGTTTGGATGACTGTTCAAAGTTGTGTGGGATTACTTAAGTTGGTGTTAATATGCATATGGGTGCTGGGTGGCTGAGTGGTCTAAACTGAGAAAATCTCAAGTTGGTGGTCTGGAGTTCAATTCCAGCAAGAGCAAAAACACCACCAGCACCCCGGGTAGATGGGACTCGTCAACCCTGGACGGCAACTCATCTAAGAGAAGGAAACTCTGAAATCAAACCCGGAGATGGAGTCCCGAAAGGCGGATAACATTGATACAATGAAACATTCCGACAACTCCTGCGACATCACTGGTGCCAAGCTGTATCATCCAATGATGTTCCCTTGAGTTACCCAGCGGCGTGGAGAGAGGCGATTTGCTGTTGGGCACCAGCTTATAATCCTTCAAGTATAATCCCAGGCCATGTGGATTTCGTCCTCCGAAGCCCACTCCATCGTCACATTGTGACGGACGGATGCCAGCAAAAAAAAAAAAATATGCATATGGCAGAATTAAAGCTGAAGAGCTCATTGTTGAAAGGTAGAACAGCTTGGTTAGTGCTGTGAAAATATAAATAGATCAGGAAACATCCTTTTAGTATAATCGGATCCCTAGAAAACACCTGAGTTCCTTCATAAACAAATTCAGAGTTTTAGCAGAGCGTACATTTTGAGCTAGAGTTAAACATAGTGCAAATAAAACCAGAAACCATTTATATTCTTTTAACCTGGTGTTGAGGTTTCTTCCATCATATTGACCCCGAATCTTACACATGTCCATTATCTTACACACTTGTTTCTTCCATACTCTATTTCTCAGAAAAAGAACTAGGTTTTGACAACAAATCAGATGTTCCTGAAGCTGAATCGACATTGTCACTGTTTGATAGCTATAGAAATGAATTGCTTGCCGATGCAAGGAAGGCAGATTTCACAAACTTCCGTGTTCAACTCTGGAGAGCTATGAAAAAATTTCCTGAAAGATGTGTGCACAGATCGGATGAACTCTGTGAACTTTACCTTAATTTCTTAAAGTATGTGGCTGTATGAAATTAATTTTTATTTTGTTTTTATTAAGTCCCGGATTTTTTAAAAAAAAAAAAAAAGGAAAAGATGATAGGGTTTGCTTTTTATTGTTTTTAAATTTTTAAAAAATTTTGTAGATAAATAATAAATGGCTACAAAATTATTGTAATTATAACTATAGAAATTTTTACCAGGACAGAAGAACTAGATTGCTTTGCATATTGAATGAAATGTAATTTAACTATTTAAAAATAATATTTCAGAAATGAGTTCAGGAATGCAGATGAGGACACACGAGCTTATCAAAGTATACTGGTCAACCAGTTCACTCAAGAAACCGTTGTGTCACAGGAAACTCCAATGGAACAGGATGCCCCAGAATTAGGCGTGGAAGAAGATGATGAAAACAAAGAAGAGCAATTAGATGAAACTAACTTAAGCATTAATATACAGACTGGACCAACGGATAGGAATCCAGGTCTCAAGAGGAGAAAGGCTGCCATTCAGTGAGTGCTCCTAATCTAAATCTTTTTGGGGAAATGCAGACTGCATTATATTTTCACAAATATATATATTCTTTTTGAAATACATAACAAATTAATAATTTTTGTGAAGAATGAAATTGTCTTATCTTCCAGGAGCCTCCTTGTTCATCTTGATTTGTTTGCAATGTTTAAAAAGCAAAGGTCAATGTTCAACCAACCTGAAGTACAAGAAACTTTTTATGAGGTTAGCAGGACTCTTTTGTTGACCCCTTCCTTTTTTAACTTAATATTCAGTTTCCTCTCCCAGCAAAAATGGGTGTTTGTTGTGATTACATACAATATATTAGTTTTCAACATAATTTGCCTTTACACAACAGAAAAAACAACAAACAAACAAAAATTCTGACTAACTAACATCTAGTAAATACATTTTGACTGCAATGTCTGGGGAAGATACATTTAAATCTGCCCCAGATAATTTGGTTATTAACTAATGATCTGACGTGCTTTTAGCTCTTGAAACACAGACATTCAACCATCCAGAAAGCTGCATTTGAATGTGTTGTGACCTACAAGTCTCCTCATATATTACCTTATCGGTAAGTTGATAGAACTTTATACACATGTAAGTTGATAGGACTTTATACACATGTAAGCTGATAGGACTTTATACACACAATAGTTAATGATGCTTGAGTAATGTGTACACAAGTTGGTTTTTGTTAATAGTGCAAAGAAAGTTTTATCATTTCTATTAAAATTACAAATTCAATTATTTTACAGCCTCCAACAGCATAAAAATAATCTTTATTTACCTCTCGATATTTTCTCGATTCTTTTCAGAGAAAATTTCAACAGACTTCTTGATGACAAAACATTCAAAAGTGAGATCACTCTCTTCAGAGTGGATGAGGAAAGCAGTGAAGTAAAGGAAATTGACAGAGAAGGTTTTTTACCTGTGCTAATGAGGTACTCATAATTGTTTAATGTTTTTTGACTCGCTTTCTTGATTAGTTTTTAACAATTTTACTATTTTCTCATAAAGTTATAACACTTGTAAGTGTTCTTAAGCTGGTTGTTATAGGCTGTGTTGATGACACTTGATTGGACAATTATTTCAAACACCTTGAGAAGCTGGTAGAAGAAGTGGAATAACATTTTTTTATGGTTGTTAACAGCACACAAGAATGGAAGTATTAGAGGCTGTTGCTCTTGTTTTTTTGTGTAATGTTAAAATTTTATTTCATTACCTGTCCTTTCATTTTTTTATGATTTTTTTGTCTCTCAAAAGAATTCTTTATGGCAAGATGCACGGAAAAGCTGGCAATGAAACTGCCGGCAAGGGACGCAGTAACATTAGGCGATCTATTGTGTTTGGCTTTCTAAGTGGATGTAAATCTGTAGAGCTCAAGTATTTCCTTGAATTGCTGTTTCAACCATGCATGCATTTCGTCTCTGGTAAATAAGCTAAAGAAATATTAACATACTGAAACTTTATTAATGTTAGATTTTATGTGACAATCGCTTAGAGGTTGTTTTTTTCCATGTAAAAGGTTTAAAAAGTAATATTTTAAAAATTTCTTCTTTTATTCGAATACTTGTTTGAAAAGTTTTTCTCCAACTTCAAAGTGTTTGCATATCTATCATAAGATCATCTTCAAATTATTTTTAATATAAGTTTTTTTGTGCTATTTATTTCTTAGATGATCCGGCTCAGACAGTGATAGAAACCTTAAACAATGTTGACCTAAGGAAAATGATCCCTCTTAAAAAGATTAAAGGGTAAAAAAATGAGTGTTAAATTACAGTGAAACCTGGAAATAAACTTTGAAACAGCACTGGCATATGAGCCAAATCACCCAGGAATGGAATGATAATTTAACAAAGGCTGCAAATAACACAACCTATCTTTGGGCTCAAGGGTTTGCATTGTTTCTAGGTTTCACAATATATATTTGGATCTCTTGTGTTTTTAGTTCTTAAAGTATTAAAGGTGTTGTCATTAACATTAAATTTGGCAGCATCAAAGTGATAGGCAAGTCATTTCTTTCTTTCATAAGAGTCGAGGGATAAAAATGTCGTTTATTTTAAGCGATGTGCCATGGTAATAAATATTAAATTTTACAATCTCAAGTTTATGTTTTTCTTTAAGAGTGAAAATTTTTTTTTTTCACAATTGATTTTTTTTAAAAAATTGTTAAAATCTTCATCTTCACAGTATTCTTAACACCATCAGTACAGTATCCCAAAAGTTGGGTAACCGTCTAGAAGGATTTACGCATTCTTTACTACAAGTTCTTTTGGGTTTAGCAGCAACACTGACTGCAGCTCTAGAACAGCGGAACATGGTGCTGAGTGGGACGGTTAATCTGCTGAAGACATTAAGACACACAGTCCTGATCAGGCTTATTGAGGTTTGAAATGTCTCGGTGTTGCTTTTTTTTAAATTTCCCAAATAAGTTGTCCATTAATTTGCCGTTTGCAGAGCATGTGCAACTATTGTTGGCCTTGTTTGACTAAGTTTGTCCCAATGATCCTCACATTAGAGTTTTTTAAGACATTGTTAGTTTGAACTGCTTATTCTTTCTCATTTTAAGCCACAATTGTATTCATTTGAGTTGTTTTTATCCTAAAATTAATAATTACATTAAAATAGTATATATATGCTAAATTTTTATCTCATACTTCCAATTTCTTAACACAAAAAAACCCCACTCATCTTTGTTGCAGTTTTTTGAGAATTTTGAAGATCTTGATTACTCTGTTAAAGAGATAGACGCTGTCTTTCATGCTGTTGTTTGGCCTCAGGTAATGTAGAAAGCTTTTGTTGTCATTAGATCGCTCATTTAGAAAAAATAAGTTTTAGTGTAAAAATTATCTTTCTTATTGTATGTAAATACTCTTAAAAATTTTTTTTTATGACTGACCCTTTTTTTTTATATTTCAGTCTGAAAAGTTAGTTTTGGAAGGTGTACATCACCCCACGCCATTATTGAAACTCTTCAGCTTTTGGAGCCAGTGTAACAGGTATGCGCTTGTGAAATCATTGTGCATGCTACTCTTTAAACCTGAATCATTAATGCATCATTTCTATTATTATTACATTATTTTTTTTATATTAAAAAAATGGTAGATATTCATATATTCTTAACTTGCTACTGCATATTATATATTAATATAATATGTGGTAATTTTTTTTTTGTGCAGGTTTCTTCCTCTGCTTACAAAAACCAAAGATTCAGAAGATCTTTCCAGTCCGCTGCATGCTGTATTTGCACTGCTGAATGCCCCAGCTATTGATTCATCAGTAGCAACAGCAATTTTAGAATTAGTCAGCTGCTTGCTTCAGAGCAGTGAAGAGAGAGACAGAGGGCACCAGTTACCTCCCCTTCCTGAACCATATGCCTATGTACCAGGTAATTTTTATTTTAATTTATTTGTGCACATTTTTATTTAAAAAAAAAAAAAAATTGTTGCCAATTTATTACTGCTATTATTAAAGAAAAGCTAACTCATTTATTCACTTTTCTGTGTTATGTTCTAGGGTGCATTAGTGTTAAAATGACATGATTTATTTTCTATCAGACACAGAGGAAAGAAAGCTAGGGGAAGCCATCTTGCTTACCCACATTCCCATGCTCCTTAGCTATTTGCAACATTCTTTACGCAAGATGGCTTCAGGTTACTTAGGCAAAAAGCAAGTCGCTTTCTTGGAACTCAAGATTTTAGCAAGGTATTTAAGATTTCTTTTATATTATTCATAAATCTATAAGAATGGTGGTAGATAGCAACTTTTTCAAAAAAAAAGAAATTTTAATATTTGTTTGCTGTAACATTTTTTGATTATCAGAAACAGTAAAAGGAAAAAGAGCAAAATCTTTTGCGTTTATTCATAATTGCCTTATCCCGGTGTAATCTACTAAAAGTACTAAAGCAAAACAATGAAATAATGTACAGCCAATGGAAATGATTAAATAAAACAATAAAATATCTATCAATTGACAACTGTGAACATTGATAACAATTTGTTAATCATTTTAATTGTATTTTGGCTGAATAACTTTGCTAATGTAACATATTTCTCACTTTCTGGAAGAGTAAGCACTTTTGTGACTTCACCTGAGGAATGCAGCATCCTTTGTAATCTCCTAGTACCTTTCTTCACCAAAGGTTCCCATCTGGCTCAGGTAAGACATATTCTCTGTCATTATAAATTAGCTAGTCATATCTTACAGACTCACCTAATATGTTGCACTATCTCAGAAGGTATTTCAAAAGGTGTATTTTCTCAATTGCCCTGCAATCCTTGTAAGTCTCAAACAAATATTGATCTTGTGAACATGTTTGTTAAAGATGTAGTACTTTATATATGAGTACTTGCTGGCATATGATATGCGTTTTTCTTTTTTATATTTATTCAATTTATTATTTTAGATTATTCTTATATTCATTTTAGGACATCGAAGAAAACACATTGGTGTCTTTAACAAACATGATGCAATACTTAACCAAACCAGAGTCATTTTACAGGTATCTATTTGACTGTTTTTAACATTTATCTCTCCTGTTATAAATGAAAAAAGCTTATGATTTTACACAGATTTACTGAGTCATGCATTATTTTTGTACAATTAAGTTATAATAATATATTTTTTATTCCTAGAACAATTGCCCAGTTATTTTCCACTATTGAACGAAGAGAGTCTCGAGTGTTGCTGTGCAAGCTGTTCAAAGTTATTTGTGAAAATAATGAGAAATATAAGACAGTATCAAGTCTCGTAGAAAAGGTTAGTTAGAAGAAATATTATATTAAAACATTATGTTATGTTATAATTTATATAAAAAATGTAAGTATCAGTTAGCAAACTTAACTCTGCTTTAATCCCCTTTGTGTTAAGTGATATGTATATAAATATTCTACTAAGCAGAATCTAAACGTAATTTCATAATATATTGCAAAATTATATATTTACACAAAGAACAGGTTATATAAAATGATAGTTATATTTGTCAGGATATATTTATGTACCACCACTGCCATATTGTCATGTTTCTCTCTTTAAAAATAGATGTATGTTTTTTAAATTATTACTTGAAATAGTTTTCTGCACAATAATTTGATTTTTTTTAAAATGTATTGATTTGAAAAATAAAAAACAATAAACCTGATTTATAAATTTCAGTTGAATTCCTGGGACAGGCGTAAGGCCGAAGAGCCTGATTACCTGACCAGACTTGAGGCTTTTAGTCAGATAAACTCTATGATTTCTGGGGCAGATGAGCCTGATGTCGACATCCTGCTACCAGTTGTATACAACTGTTGTCATTTTATCTATGCTGTAAGGGCTTTTAATGGCTAAATTTAGTTATAGAATTGTTATGTCCTATAGCATTATAAACATTTTATTCGTGAACAAATGTAGAAAGTTCTCTATTTATGGAAAAAATAAAGAAAGAAATCAACATTTGTAATTTTATTGTGATGTGGTAAACTGAAATAACTACTATTTGTTGATCTCACTTAATTTAAATTCAATTAGATCCTCTTCTTTAAAAAAAATGTTTCTGATTTAAGAAGAACTTTTTAAGAATCTCTTAAGAAGAGATTATATCAACTAATCAAATTATTATTTTACTCAATCAGATTGATGATTTATCTATCAGAGATAATTCCACCCATTGCCTGCTCACCATAATAACAAAACTGGCTTCTTCAACTTCTCAAAATGCCAGCAAAGTTTTTAATGTGGTCCTAGAGAAAACACTGGTGCCTCAGGTCAAACTCGGAATCAGAAGCAAATCAGAGGTTCGTATATCTTGCTGCTCAGGGTCAAGTTTGGGTTGAGTTGATCAGGGATCTATCAAAGTTCATTAAATACAAAGCCTTTGTCCGGCCGCTTTTAGAGTACGCATCTACAGTCTGGGACCCATTTACCCAGAAAAGCATCGACAGGTTGGAGGCAGTCCAGCGATGGGCAGCACGCTTTGTCCTGAACCGCTACAGAAACACCTCATTTGTTGACAGCATACTAGAAACACTGGGCTGGTCACCACTGGAAGAACGACGACAACTATCCGGGCTCACCATGTTGTATAAGATCAAAATGGGCTGGTCCACTGCTTCAGCATCAAACAGAAACTCGTCCATCTCGCCCTAAGACAGCGACGAGGCCACGGCAGGCAGTTCCGGCTAATAAAAACAATAACTCAGTACAGGAGCTTCTCATTCCTGCCAAAGACAATAAGGGACTGAAACAAGCTTCCAATAGTAACAGTTGAAGTCACTACACTCGACATATTTGTGTCTATTACCTCCTGTCTTTCAACCCCCCCTTCATAAAACCACTGCTGAGTAGCCCTTGCAAGTATCTCCTTGAAAACCATGCAGTTACATCAGGAACCCCTCTGAAACATAAGAGCCAGAATGATCAATTCATTGATCGTGGGCCCTCAAAATATAGAAGAAGAAATACAAAGGAACCCCGAATTAGGAACACCCTAGTTAACGAACAAGTTTTGTGCACAACTTACACTTTTTAATGAATTATACTTTTGGTTATGATCATACTTATCACCAAGCAATGCAATATCTTGAAATAGGCAATCTTTAAAATTTAAAAAGCAAAAAGGGTGATTGATGTGGCTTAAAAAACCTGAGTCAGAGTTGCCAAGTGTTTTAAAGAAGGGGATTCCCCTTCAAAGCAATAGTTTCTCCCTCTCCTATGCCATCCACCTCCGCCAGCAACTATTAACAAACAAGAAATGGCACAGCACTCATACTTGTTTATTTATTTTAGTGTTATATACCTATAATTAAGGATATTTTATTTTCATTCTATATTTTTCAATACAGCAAAGCAGTTAAAATGTATAAAATAACATACATCTTAGGGTGAAAGTGATTAATTGAATTTACATCGATTCCAAGGGAAAAATAATTTTGATTAAACATTTGGTATAAGAGCGGTGTCACTGAAAATTAAGCTTATTATCCAAAATTCCACTGTATTTAGAAGAATGTAGTATAGTAAAACTATTAGCATTTATGTTTAGGGCCTTTGTGTTTTTTTTCTTCTAGATCTGATGCTGTTGATTTAAATTTTAACAATTTATTAGTAATTTCAATTAACAAAATATTTGTATGAACAGAAATTAAATCTTTTTTTTAAAAAGTATAACGTCTCTTTACCATAACATTGTAAATATATTTTAGTTTCATAGTTAATCTTAATTTTGACTTTTTATGGAAAATTAATTAATTTCTTCCATCATCAAAAAAAAAATTGCATTATATTCTGATTTCAGCAAACAAAACTAATAAAAGAATTGTGGACAAATAGGCCTAACTGTGTTTATCTTGAAATATTTTCTTTTTCATTACCAGGTTGTCCGCCATGAATTTCTTGCAGTTTTACAAAGTCTTGTCAACAATTGCCCTAACCACAACATGTTTACAGGCCTTAAAGATCTCTGTGATAAAGATCCAGAAGCAGACTTTTTTGAGAACATAAGACACATCCAGGTGAGAATGCTTGTCTCTTTTCTGTTCGTACACCTGAATAATTTATAGAATTTTCGAAACTTGTTTGAAAAGCTTGAATATTTTGATTTTTTCAAATACACAGTTTGTTACATTTGATGGTTTATTATGTTAAAACAGAATTTTACTTAGTGCCTTATTTTTCCTAAGACTGCCCCTTAAATAAAACTTGAGCAAGCTATTATTGCTTCTGGTAAGCATCCATAGTGAACCTTTTTATCTAACATGGGAGGGATGGTGAGTGGGACTGATGGATATTTTGTATTTTTTGGCTTTGAACTCAACATCAGCAAGATTATCCCAGCCTCATTTTTTCAGGGATAAATTTTGTTGTTGTTTTACAATACCATTTTTACTCACATAAAATGAAAATATTTGCAGATTCACAAGCGATCAAGGGCACTACGTAGATTATTTAAGCATCTTAAAGATCACCAATTCCGCACAGAGATTCTCATGTCCTACTTCAATCCACTGGTGCATGCCTTTGTTTTGGACAGCTCTTATTCCAGCCATGCTAATCTACAAGATGCAGCCATTGACTTACTTGGCGCTATTTGCAAACAGTTGCCGTGGCAATATTATTTGCAGCTCCTAAGGTTTTATTTGAAATTATTACCCAAAAAAGTTGAGCTTCAGAAGCAAATTGTAAGGTATGTTAAAAGATGAAGTGAGAAATTTAAAAATATATTTTTTTTTTCACTTGCATAAACTACATATTAAGAAAAATTAAATACTTTAATTTAAATTTCAAAAGACGTAAAGAGAGTATTGTTTTAAAACAAATTATTTAATACTTTAACAATTAAAATTATGGGGAGCTGTTTGTTACTTCATCTCATTTGATGGAAGCAGCACACTTTACATAAAACCACTGTTGTGCTTTCAGTATTATTACATTATAAGGGCAAAGTACAATACAAAATTTTTTTTTAATAGTTTTAGATTTGATTAGCACTAAAGTTAAATTCGTTGTGCTTTCAGTATTATTACATTATAAGGGCAAAGTACAATACAAAATTTTTAAAAAATAGTTTTAGATTTGATTAGCACTAAAGTTAAATTCAAGAAATAGCAGGAGTGGTTACCTTAAATTTTAATGATAAATATCTTGATTAAAACTTCAAGAAAATTAATGCTATAACTATTTTGCAATTTAATTTCATTACTCCTCGTAGTTTAATTTTTTTTTTTTTTTAAATCTCCATACAGGATCATTGTGGCATTGCTTGATGCTTTCCATTTTGACCTGACCAATTCAACCTATCGTATAACATTTGCCCCAAAGGTAGTGGAGAATGCCTACAAAGAGGGAGAAGAAGGTAAGGATTTGCAGTGAATAACAAATGTTAACTAAAAATTGTGATTATCAGCTGTACCACCAGAAACTGTGAAACTATTGGCCAGCTTAATTTTAAAAAATACACAACTTTTTATTAATCTATTAATTGATCCTTAGGCCTTACAACAGGGATGCTCCTTAATGATGAAGACAGGTTAGCACTCCTTTAGATTATCTCAGAACAGATTCCACATTTTATTTATTTTCAGAACTATCCATAAATGTTTGAAAACTTTTCAAAATTTATTTGCAGCTGGTGGACTAGTTTTGAAAGTCAAGGATTGAATCACAATGCAAAAATGCTTACAAAATTGCCTATAAGTTAGTGTTTCTTTCTGAAGTATTATTTTTCAGTTACTATTTAATTATTTTTTTCAGATATAAAAGATTCTAAGACAGAAGAAGGGAGTTTAGTTGAACCAGAAGCAAAGAAAGAAGAAACTATGGACACTGATGAGAATGGAGTTGCTGATAAAGATGAGGATAATATTCTTCCAATGGAACTTGAGATACCAAGTGAAGAGTTGCTAAACCACCAAGAAAATGAGGAAGTAACGATCGATCAAGCCCTGAAAAAAGATGGAAAAATTGTCTGTTCAGCATCAGCGGCTACAAAAATTCACAAAACTATTGTGATCTCTCTGTTACCTCAGCTACACAAGATAGTAACCCAAAGGGTAGGTTATAATCCAATATCAAACAAACTAAAATTTGAGCTAAAGCTTTTGTGCAAAAATGAGTAACAATTAAAGATGGTGAAAACATTACATCAATTTAATCCTCAATTGCACAAAGAAGTTTTTTAGCTATGCTTTTTTTTCTGTTCTGTTTAAATATATCTGCAAACTTTTACAGCCCTTATACTAATGTAAGAAAAGGGTTTTTTGATAGGTGCGTTTAAGTTTTGATATTATTGCAATAACCATGTTCAAATGTGAATCTAGGCAAAAAGTGATGATCAGCACAAACTGGTCAAGTCCAAATATCCTGAAGATGAGGAAATCCTCCGTGTACCTATTGCGCTTGCAATGATTAAGCTCTTGCAGAATCTACCTAAAGGAACTCTAGAGAACAGATTGCCAGGGTAAATATTAGAATGGGGAATTTAATTATAATAGGATAGGAATGTTCTTTAAATAGCTTTCTAATTATAGCTATCTATATATTTAATTATTCTGGAAGTAGAATTTAACATGTCTTTATTTTACAATGTTATTTCCCTAATTTAATCATCTTTAATGAAAAACAAATTTCTTTATATCATCAGCATTCTTCTCAAAATCTGCAATTTCCTCCGTTGTCGATCTCGAGATATTCGCACAACAGCAAGAGATACCCTTGAAAAAGCTGCATTATCTTTAGGGGCCAGGTTCTTTCCTTTTATAGTTAGAGAAATGAAATCAATTCTTACAAGAGGTTATCAGGTTCGTTGACAAAGTAAACAGCTAGGTTTGATAAGCATCTCATAAGGAAAGCAAACATTTCACTAAAACTTGTAAATGCATATCTTATAAATTATCTTGCATTTATTATATCTTAAATTCAAGTTAAAATAATTAAGAACCTATAAAAATATGGCGTAAATGAAATTTGAACAGTAAAGCAAAACCTAGTCTTTATTCAGCAATTGCTGAATGGGCTAAGAGTAAATATTATTTAGTGGCCATCCAGTAAACCTGATTTAATTTTTTAAAATTCGTAAACATATCAAGCTAAAAATTGAACTAGATTTTTATGTAAATAAACTTCTATTCCTAGAGAGATTTTTCAAAATGCAAAAAGCTGTAAACTTTTTTTGGGCAATGTCATTTAAATTGTTTTTTTTTAAAAATCTTTCTAGCTTCATATTCTCAGTTTTACCACTCACCACCTGCTCAAGGCTTTGGCAAAGATTGTTAACCCTGGGGACCTTGACCCGGCTCTTGCAAGTGTTCAGGATGTTTTCTATCCAGAACTGTTTGGCCAGGTTGCAGAGGAGAAAGATGTGGCAGCCATCAAGGCCAAATATTTTGAGGCCAAATTTATCAAAGGTTATGATGCTTATGGACTGATGGCCAGGTGTATATCAGCAGGTTGTTTAAATCAACTGGTTCAGCCAATCAGAGGTGTAAGTTATGATATGTTAATTTAAAAAGAAAATATAAATCCCACTTTCTAAAGCATTTATGGGTAATGTCTTTTTGAGGGAGCATTGAGCTTGACAGACACTGACCTCAACTAACTCAACTCTGCCTATCAGTCGAGCAAGTCTGTGCAGTCAGTGCCCTTTGAGCCTACCTAAGTCTGTGCAGTCGGTGCCTTTTGAGCATACCTAAGACCCTTTCTCATCCTTAAAAAACCAAACTCAGGACTATATCCTGTATTTTTATCTGTGTAAATATTTATATTAAAAGAACTTATTCATGCATTTGTGTTGCCAATAGTAGTAACATTAGTAGTGGTGTGGAGTTTATGACACATCTTGTTTGCATTGTGATTGTAACACCCCTTCCCCACTACTCCTTGGAGCTTGAAACTAAGTTTTTGAGAGCTTAAAACTAATTGGCTAGTAATTGGGGGGGGGAGGGGGGGTTGCTGTTAAACAGACGTATTTGCAGAAAACAAAGATCACACCAGTACTTGATCATAACATGTATTTTCTCAAACTCTTGTCCACATGTTTACTACTGATCCAAACTTAACATGTATTTCTCAAAATCCTGTATGTATGTTTCATTGATGAAAAAAATACTATTGATACCTTTGACAGGTTTTAGAAAGTACTCACAGCTCCCGTACTGCCAACAAAGCTGAAACACTGCTGAGAAAAGTGGCAGATGGTCTCATGGCTAACAAGAGCATTCCTCTACAGACTATGATGATGTTCATTAATTCCTTAACAGCTAAACTACTGACTGAAACTTTTGCTGCAAAGAAGTTTGTAATTTATCTACTTTATTAACTTATTTTAGGTGGTATTGATTTTAAAAACCATAACTCTTTATTAAACATAGCTGCACAAAATATCACTATTTTTTTTGTTACCAATAAAAATGAGAATCAAAATGGATTGACTCTAATATTCCACTCTTTCATAAGAGTTCTGTTGTCATATTTTTTTGCTCTAAACAAATATCATGTCTTCTAACAGCTCAAAAGTTGATAAAGAGAATGAAGAAAAGCCTCAAACTAGAGTGCCAGAGAGTTGCCTTCTGTTGCCTCAAGCTGCACCTCGGGGTGGCTTGAAGCCCAAAGCTGATAAAAAGACTAATATTCATATTTTAATTGAGTTTGGTCTACAGGTAAATTTATAAAAAAAAATTTTCATCATTTTATTTTAACCCTTTACAGTCCGATGCGCCCGATTTTTTTCCTTAAGCGTACAGTCCGATGCGGCCAAACCCGCCCGTTTCGAGGTTGTTTGCTTTCGTTCTTAGCACAGCGGAAATCCATTGCGCATTACTATTTATAGTTCTACCGGAAGAAAGCCTCGTTGTCGGCATTTATTTTGATACTAGTTTGACCGCGGTGTGTTTAGGGGCTGATTTTCCATGATTTGTTTTAAAAGTCGCGATTTTTTCGCTGTAAAAAATGGCTATCTAAGCCTTGGATACACTTTTGAAAGAACTTAAGCCTAATGAAGCTTCACTATTTCATGAGTGGGAGGGTCTCTGAAACTATTTTTAGGTTTAACTTTTGCTTTAATCATTTCTTTGTATTTAGGTATTTTTTATTTTATTTTGTTGCTTCTAATTTATTTTCTGTAAATTAATTAGATAAAGAACCTTCATTTAAAATGGAGTTATGTCCCTTTGCTTGGGCGCTGGGAGTAGACAAGGCTGAATAGGTTT